TTCGTTTCATGGCATATATTATAGAATGTTAATGCAATAAGACCACGTAAAATACTAATTACGGCAAAATGATGTTAATGCCAGCAAAGGTGTTCTTTCGCCTTTACATCGTATTTTAAGCGTGTTCAAAGTACACGAATGGAAACAGGATATACCGCAATTTGTAGTCCATCCCTTCTTTCTCTTCCAAAGCGAAGAAATGTAACCGAATACCACAATATCAGTCGATATTTCGCAGAAAAACAAAAGAGAGATTGCTGGAGTTGTGTAAAAACACTCTTGCCCTGAGGCACTCGAATTCTTATCTAAATTAAAAATGCACGGAAATTACGCAAATCGATTCCATTTAAGTTTTTTGATTGGATTTTTCGATTTATGGCCTCAGGGAATTGAAAAAATCCGAGAAGTTTGTGGACATAAAAATAGAATTATATTTTTGTTTATGGGACGGTACTTTGGAAGATCGGACAACAAGTTGATTTATGACGACGCCTTGGTTTTCGGGTTAAATTGGCGTTTTTTCTCGAGCAAGTCGTCGAATCTGAGGTTGAACAAGAATAAATCCTGTTATCAACCATATAAACTTGGCAATATTCAACTATAGACATCCATAGACATCATTTCGACCAAAAATAAATAATTGTAAGTCCTTCTTACCCGCTCCTATTTCAGCGTTTCTAAGCGAGAGACCGGAGGGGCTGCGGAAAATTTGAATTTGTATCCATGTCGGCCACAAAGGCAAACAGACTTTTTGAGGGAGGAGAAAGGGTCACTTCCACCTGAATATGCAAATAGAATAGCCCTCGGCGAAGGATTTCGAATTCCTCCGGCGCACCTGGACCTGCACTAAAGTATTGTTTGTACTATCTATAATTGTATACATTGGCAAATACATACATATATATATATACATCTATATATTCTACAATATATTATCTTATATACCATCCCTTTTCAAGTACAAAAAAGATCTTTAAAAATATTAGTAATGGATTAATTAGTGGGCCAGCTGAGTACTCGAGTTGTAAACTTTACAAACAATTATATTAATTGTTTTGCAAAGCATTTGAAGTCAACATAATGTTTGCATAATTGCAACCCGCCCATTTCTTCGGCTATAAATACACTTTATTCACTTGGATTCAAGTTTCAAAACGCTGAAAACAAAGTGTAACCGCTTTAAATTACTTAAAATTAATTCGACTATATTAGAGACCCTCTTAAATTGAAATACTGTGTGTTTACAGTGAATAAACCAACCAGTAAAGTGCTGCGGCGGAAATTAAATTATTCGGAGAAAGTCCCCGCAGGGGGATTAGCCCGCGGATATATGCAAATTAAGTCGGTAATTATAAAGAGGCTGCTTATGACACATCCCGAAATATTAAAATAACATTGGCAAGTACTGTAAACAAGGAGAAAACTGCGTTAAAGTGAGTGAAAAAGATCTTAAAGGCCAGAGTCATCCTATTAAGGATTTCGCAATTATCCTAACCTTGAGATGGGAAAGTAAAAATACGGTAAAACAAGTTTCGTAACTTGAAATGAATCACCGGAAAGTATTCCTGCAGACAGAAGCTTGATTGAAATCGCGAAATTAATAAGAAAACGATGAGATTTTCCATCAAGAAATTATTTAATCCCTATGTAATCAGTGTAATCGGCTTGGAAAATGATGATTAAACGGGTTAGAAAGGCAAATACGTTTAGGATTGACGAAGTTAATGTTCATATCCCTGGAAAATCGGTATTGTACATGCATTTTCAATAATGAAAGTGCCGAAAAAAGGATATCTGAGAAAGTTTACAAATTCAAGAATGACATGAAATGATGGAAAACCAAGCTATGATCAAAGTAATTTGTCGAAAAGGAAAATAATGACCAAGGAAATAAGAGAAACCTGACTTTTAAATTGTTAAGCACTCATAAACAAAAAAATTTAGGTGGAAAACTCATGTTTTACTCCCGTTACGTCACGCAGATCGTTGGGACTTCATTTGAGATCACTGTGACGCAAGGGCTTTACATAAAATACGAGAAAATTCGAGCATGTTGGGTAAGGTTGTGCAGGAGATGGGGAAAAATCACTTTCTCACCAAAGTAATTAGCCAAAAACCTTCTGGAAAGTTTGTGGAAATTACGTCTTCCCTCAGCCCGACCTCAGAATTCGGAGAAGAAAATTCAAATTACCGGCCTTCCCGTGGAGTTTTCAAACTTTTCCGCACAGCATGACGCCTCCGGGAAAGCCATCATTTTTAGTCATTAGGTCAAAAAAAAGGGCGCATGCGCCCTCCCCAAAAAATTCCACAATTGGCCCCTCCAAAACATAACGGCGCCCCCATCGAACCTGAGTCAGATCGATTCGAAAAACGAAGAGAGAGAGAAAGAGAAAGACGACCGGCGATGGGATGTCGCCGCGACAAAAGAGAGACCCCCCGCTTCTCTGGGCGTTGCGCGATGACATGTCGGGTCGCTGATCTCTTGAGGGTGCGCTCTGTCTCTGTGGACGGTCTCTCGGCGCGAGCAGAAAGTCGGGTCTCCGATTCCAGTGGATGCACCGAACGTCAGAAAAAAGGGCGACCGTTGCTCTTTTTGTGATCGCGAAACCTTGTTTTTCTCCCGGTGGACTGTCTATGTCTCCTATTTTACCTTATGCTTACCAAGTTCCCTCTCTACTACCTCTAATCCTTCTAAACCATCGTTTTTCTCCTTTTTCTCTCCGCCTTTTGTAGTAGAAAAAGGCCTGTAAAAACTTTTCCATACTTTCCTTCTTCTTCTCTAACTACAAATCGAGACTGACTACTCTCTAACTCCTCTCTCACTTCATCAAATGCGGGATTATTTCCATCTAATCGCGCACTCTTTTTGTCAGCAAATCGTTTCCCGCCAAAGGGCAGGAATTGTATGCAAAACGGGCGAGCGAGGGAAATGGGAGATCCGACGGATCATAAAGCTGCTGCAAGCGATGAGACAAAGGGATCTCTGATGGTATGTGGAAGGGAATGTATGAATGTTTATCCAGATCCACTGGGTTTCTGAGAAATCACAAAATTCTATACAAAAGATGATTAAATATAGAAGAAAGTAGTACGAGGGAGACGTTGTATCGAAGTAAAACGTTATTAAAAATGCTGTAAGCCGTATTTTAAAAAAAAATAGAGGTGAGGAAGACCAGTTTATAGAATTATCGACGAGTCAGCGAGATATTTACATAATTTTCACCTAAAAAATCGGGTTTAAGCGGATGAAAAAGGCAGGTGCTACGGAAGCGGCAACTCTGAGACCACAAGGCGCTGGGGGAATTGGATTAACTGGCATAAAAGTATCAAATTCAAATTGAAATTCATGGCTATGCGGAAAACAGTTTCTATTCTGTGACTTGAATAAATTTTATACAAACTTTCGACGTTTTTTAGCTAAAAAATGATGACGAATAAAATTTAGAACTCAACAGTATTCATAAACATAAAATACGAGCTCGCAGAACTTAAGAAAATGACCAAAACGCGTATTATATCATCCAAGTAATAAATCATTTTCTCGAGAAAAGAACAAGATTTATTCGAGAAATATTAGATTACGTATCCTCCAATTACAGGTCAAGGAGCATGTATAATCTGATGTATTGCTATGTGAGTGAAGAGGGGGATCAAAAGACGCCGAAATCTCCCTCGATTCGCCTCATCTGAAGAGCCTAATTCCGCAGAACGAATGAACCTTAAAACCGGTATTTTATGTCGACTGAACAGGCTGAATATTTAATGGCAAGCACCATGATGGCATTGGGATCTTAATGCGATGTTAAAGTAAATCTAAATTATTTAAAATAGCTACAGGCCTTTTAAATTGCACAAGACATCAATTTGATGACAAAATTTTATTAAATATCAGAAAAGTTGCAAATAGCTCCACGAAGCAACGTATATTGTAGCCAAATACAATAAAAAACACAACCCCGGGGCTTTGCATTCCCATCCGACGACCAGAATCCCCCCTTCAGCCCCGCTTTTGTCTCCATTTATATGATTCAGACGCCTTGAATTCCAGTGATAAGCGCCGGCCAATTGTTTCGCTCATTATGCGGAGAAAAGACAATTCAGGATTACTAATTATAGGCTGGTGGGATCAATTAATTGAATAGATATGATTAATGGCCGGAAAAGAAAAAAACTCGACCACTGGCAATTGTAAAATTACGGTAATAGTCATATGAAATGGGCGTCAACGAAAAAATTTGATAAGAGAAAAATGTGAGAGCGTTTTGAAAAAGTGTCAATGGAATTTTCACGGTTGTAAAAGCCGGAAACCATTTCATAATCAGTTCAAAATTAATTTACGACCTTATTTTGGGTAAAAAATCCCAATAAAATCAAAAACTCTCCTTAAAATGTATCCGAATAGGCCGCAGTCTTTGTTCACATAGCCGTCGAATCAGTCGCCGTGAAACAATACAAAATCGGAGTTTACAGCGCCCATTAAAAACTTTTCGATCCGCAAAACCGAAAAGAATTCGGATTAAAATCAGTGCGTTGAACGGGTTTTTCGGAGAGAAATGGAGACCGCACTAGCTAGCTAGAAGTGATATACTGTAAAGTTCAAGTAATGAAGGGAAATTAGCCATCAAAAAATTGTAAATATAATTAACATTAGTGATTTTGCTTTGCAAAAATTTAGTCAAGCGGGTCAATTACATCATAAAAATTTCAAAAAAATCAACGCAGATTGCAAAAATGTCCTTCAGTTTTAAGAATATTTATTAATTGCACTAATATCAACAAAATAAAAACGTAAAATCCTAAAAATTAGCAAAAATGTACCCAAAAACGAATGAGGACTTGTTTTACAACAACTGGGACGGAATTTTAGACAAAAAATATGCAAATCGTGCAATTTTAAGTCCGACTCATACCAGTTGTCGAATTTCCAGGCAATATTTGGATATGTGTACAACATAAATTATAATACCAGTATCAAATAATTTAATAATTACTCTCTAGACTTAATAGAACCTCTTTCTGGATCTGGACTGACGATCCTGATACCACAGGTAGCCAAACACAGCTATCCCGCCGACAGTTGCACACACACCGAGGGTGATGAGAAGGTATTTGCCCCAAGTGCTCATTTGGGACGGCGGCGGGTTGGAGACGTGATCACGGGGGGCCACGTAATCGGCTTTGGGCTGAATGCGAGAGGGGTCGAGTTCGTTGATGTTCTCCGCTCGAGAGTACTCGATTTCGAACATTCGGACGGCAGTAATGTCATGATTATCTGGAAAAAAGATATTACTTAAGAAAAAGATGAAGAATAATGTCAAAAAGGAGGCGAAAGTACCTGATAAATCACCGGTTGCAGCTGAAAGACCAAAGTAGTAGCCAGTTGGAAGATGAACGCCACCAACTCTAAGACATTGATGCCATTTTCCAGTGTTTTCGGTGTCTTGATATACCTAAAAGAATAAATATTCAAACAGAAAAAACTTACAGTTAACGTATCTCCAACATATCGGATAAGAACATGAGTATCATACTCCACATTCCTGAATTTGACCTCACAACCCGACTCTGAACCTCCTAGACGATCATCTCCTCCATCTTTGTCTCCGTTGAAGAGAACAGTGCCGTCAGAAACCATCGCATAGATGTAGGGGAAAGTGTGCTAAAGGAAAACAATTATAAATCAAATACAAAATTAGACTACGCATTTTCTGAAACAAAAACTCACAGCATAAGAGCTGTAGTCATTGTGGTAAGTATCCAGAAACACTCCAAGACCACTGAACCCATTGGTCGACCCGAAAACTGGACCGGGAATATTCCTGTCCCTGGTATACCAAATCCCAATACCATCACCAAAGAGCTTCCCAGTATCTCCATGAATCCGGAATGTAACCATCAATTCCCAATCCCGAGATTGAACGGGGATTTGACTCCAAATTGCTCCCTGGCGACCTTGCAGATTAGGTGTCAGACGAATCTGCTGAGCTGTTACCATCGTGCTTCCAGTAATATCCCAGTAAGGAACGTCCATTCCATGCCCTAAACCAAAACGAGGTTAGTCTGACGTGTAATAACAAGATAATCCAGCAAAGCTCATTTTCTTTACCTAAACCTTAAGAAAAAAGTAAAATTTACCGGTATATGGCCGAAGAAGCGAGTGTTCCCTGTTAAAATACCCTCTATATTCGGTGACTGAGCTATCCTCAAGAAGATCATTATCCTCGGCGGCTACAAACGCCACAATCAGCAATATTACCCATGGTTTTGCCCGCATTATGATCTCTGAAAAAACACTTCGTACAAAAAGTAAAATTGGTGGAAAACAAACGTGAAATTAAATAACGCCACGTAGAAAAGTATCGCTATTGTCTGGGAAAGGCTTCCATGCATCTATCTCGACTTTTGTGTCGACTGCAATTTTTCCCGACTTGGTTGGCAACGAAATGTCACTATTGATTTATCGTGAAATCGCAACATTTGGGATGACTGTAAAATACAATAATACAGTATCTCATAGATGCTTGTAAAGGTCAAAATTGAACTTGAGTTAAAGCATTTAAAATTTATTTACATTAATTTACTCATTTGGCTACAGATTTTGAAATGAAAATCTTCTAACATCGGCTTCTTTATTGGCCACAGAATAAACAAACAGTGACGATCCATAAAGATAGACTTCTGCGATAAATCCAACTTCAAACTCTCCAAGTTTCCGCCATTCATCTACAATAGTCTCTATGAATCATTAATCATTTTATAAAACTTTGAGATTACAGTAATCTTACTTGTCTGCAGGTCCAAGAATCCAAGTTTGCCAGCCTCCCAGGAAGGCTGAATCCAGGAAAACGCTTGTCCCATGTAACCCAGCCCAAGAATTTGGCCATTAGACTCCTTTTCGTCGCCGTAATAGCCATAATTTTTCCAAGTTCCATCAAATTCCAGGACTTTTGCTTGGTTCTCACGGAAAATACAGACCCTTTTTTGGCGATAAAATATCTTGTAGTTAAGATCCATGACGTTCGGGATATGAGTTTCCAATCGCTTCATTTTTTCACTCGTTTCAATGTTATAGAACTCAAAAACAAGGCCCGAAAACGAGGCCAGAAGTTGTTTTAGCGCGCTTAGGATTGTCGCTCGTGGCTGAAAAAAATAAAAATTTTTGAAAACCTACAGTATCCCTACCTTGTGATCTTCATTTTCCACCGGAATACTCCAGAAATGACCCGTTTCCAAGACGAACACATCAATTGGTTGTCTCCTCGCATAATACAACAAGTATTTCCCATCGTATCTTATACTTGGTCGCTGAAATCCAATCGGGAAAGATCTTTCGAGCTTGCCATTGTAGAGATTGACCAGATGGATCTCTTGGTTTCCGTCGACATTTGCCGACTTCACCAAGCTGAAATGACAAGCTTTTGTACTGAGAGAATCTCTTACGTGTCGTCCACAAAGAAGACATTCTCAGCGCTCATATAGTAGATGGGCGCCAACTGCTTGGTATAGAGATACGGGAGCCGTTCCGAAGTTTTCTTTAGAGGATAAACTCGAAGTCTAAGATGTCCAGTCTCCTCACTTTCCAAGATCGCGATAAATTGATTTTGATTGAAGGGATGGAAATCATATTCTAGCCATTCCATGTCAATCACTTGGTATATCTACAACAATATCTTTAATTTTAGACTGGAATATGAATTTCCCTTTATGTTTTTGGCTCTCACCTGATCTAATTGACCCAAATGTCGGATTTCGAGTTCTCGTTTCATCCTGATCATCAAGAATTCATCTTTAAAAATCAGCCCTTTAACGTTCTTCCACTCCATTTTTGACTCCTCAAATTTATTTTGTCTCCAATTCTCGCCAACTCTGGCAATTATACAATAGCTTAAGCTACTACTTACTGCTCGAAGGCGCTTTTCCAATCTCCATTTTCTTTTTCAATCCCCAACTTTGAACATTTTATTTTCCAGGCCATGTTTTGATCCAGAAATGATTTCCATCTCTTTGAAACCTTCGAACACTTGAAGATGTCATTGACTGGTAGCTTCGAAAATACATTTAATGACACTTCAAATGGAAAATGCTCCACAAAATCCATTTGAATTTTGAAATTCCCCACGATTTTCAGGAAAATCTCCGAAGAAACAAACGTCCCTTGATTTTTTTACTCTTTCCCTAAGAAAAAGGCGGCTTCACCTCGAGTTCAGCTGTTCTTTTATTTTTATTTATAGGATAAAAATCTTCAAAAATCGACAACATAACAATAGGTTAGGTAACAAAAACCTTCAAAGTTTAGTCATCAAAAAATTAAAAATTTTTTTTTGCAAAATGATAAAATCCGAATCACAAAGCTCTATCCTCGTAGATTTACCCGATTTTCCGCGGAGAGGTGGTCCCTTCCTGCCCTTTGAATACACACAAAGTGTCCTGAACCAGCTCTGGCTTCCTCGAAAATACTGATAGTTGCTTGTCCAATATATTGATATCTCCCGGTCAAACTTTCATATATACTGGCCACAGGGGATCCATGTGATACGACCACAATATTCTCCGTGTCTTCTTCTCTATCCAGGATCTTCCTGAGCGTCTTGTCAACACGTTCCAAGCAATCATCTTCTGGAGGGCAAGTTTTGAATACGGGCTTGTACGAAAGATCGACTTTTGGGAACTTATCAGCCAGCTGATCTATTGGCCAATATCCCGGAGGGTCCTCGCACAGATACAGTATCTAAAATGAAGCAATCAGCACCATCTGGCAATTTGGGTACCTAAAAGTTCGAATAAAGGGAGAAATATTTACCTCGATAAATCCAGGCTCCACTTTGATCTTGTTTTCCTTATTCCCGAGTAAGATGGATGCGGTTTCCATTGTTCGATCAAAAGGAGATGCATAAATCGATCCAATTTCAATGTTTTCGAAACTAAAATAACATAATTCAAGTTGAAAACTTACTACTTCCTGAGGTCATCGCATTGTGATCGTCCTCGTTTGGACAACGGTGAGTTATCACTTTTGAATTCGGGGTAATCTCGTCGCCATTTCGAATTTACATTGTCTTCCCGCTCAGCGTGACGGACAACATAAATCCGTCTCATGGACAATACAAATCGAAGCCGTCTTAATTTCTATGCTACTCAAAAGTTACACCAGTGTGTTGTTACAGCAGCCACCAAGGTGGAAGTGTATCTCCCCCATCGATGAGACATAAAAAATATTTTTTTTTATTCGGCGAGCTGCGCCCAGGTGAATATAAAAAATGGGCGGAGACTTAATATACGATAAGAAAGGGGTGAAACATTTTGTCAGAAGTTATCAACAAGACTGTTCTTCTGAGCATAACTTTAGGTTTTGATCCCCCTGGTACTCGACAATATGAGCAGTTTTGTTTTTACGGCTCAAATTCTCGGATATTATTCTTGGCCATTTCATGCGGACCCTCTTCCTCGAACCCCATTCAAAATTTTGGTAGACTAAAATCATTTTCTTTTATGAAACGATTACATGTGCACAAAACAAATTGAAAAGCCTCCAATAAAATGATTCGATACATACGGTTGCAGTGAATACCCTCCAATGATTCCATTATTTTCCAACATCTGCGCCGCACAGTGCAAAGCGGGCATGAAAAGAGGCGAGCCTGATGCCTGTACGGAAGATGACGAAAATCTTGGCGATTTGATTAGGTGATGATGCCGATCCAATTAGACCCGCCCAGCCGGCATTAGCGTATAAATTGGACTGAGACGATGTGCTAATCCATCTTTTATTTCGATGGCCATGTTGAGTGTTTAGAAGTTGGGGGAATTACTGATGTTTCCATGAATACTTGAGACTTCTGTATTCGGAGCTCATTTGTTCAGAGAGGAATGGCGTGGGTTCGGAGTGTAGAGAACGAATTGGAAATGGAAAAAAATGTAGACAGTCTATGGGGGATATGTTTACCGTTTGACAAAAACGTGACTATTCGGTAAAAAGTCAATGAGAAAGGAACAAAATCTTGTTTCTTGTTCCATTTATTCATAAGATGATTATGGTCCCTATCTCATCTTACCGGCCATATCTTTGAGTAAATGTGCTGAGTCCAAAATCCGGTTAGAATTTTTAAGTTTTGAATATAATGGGAATGTTCGGAACCGATGTTTGGACAAAGTCCGTTTATTGGTATACTGTAGATCGGAATCGTCATAGTATAATATAATTGTAAATAAATTTTCCTTCGCATAATTTGGGTAGTGCATTAAATCCATATTGTCTGCCAGGATAGTCGGCGACCTCAAAAATTAGTCTTTTTGTGTCAGCGTTACGACAAGAATGTCATGCAAGACAATTTTGAGGATGTTAATGGCTTCAGGAATGGCCGTTTTGGGGGACTTTGTGTCTTCTTGCAACTTAAAGCAGAGGGCAGTTTGTCAAAGGATACGTCGAAAGATTCTTCAAGATACGATTTAGTTTCTTAAGGCCTGATTTTTGGACTTACAATAAAGGACTTGTTAGAATATAAAATATTTGCCCATATGGTTAACAAAAGGAGTCTAGAAAGTGCTCGAATTTCTTCCAGATTTAGCTTAATCGTGTCTATAAAGATCTCTGATCACTTTTCATTAGAAAATCGTTCCTGTTTACCATGACCTAAACCTAGCATACTGTGTAATAAATTATAGATAGTTTATCAATTCCACATTCGGATCCCCCACTAGAACTTTGCGTTGGTATTGAGCTCTTCTTGAAGCAAAGTAATGAGCTTCTTAGGGTCTCATTAATCCATTAACTGGCCGCCGTTCGTTCGCAAAATGATTTTCCGGCTCGCCCTTTTCACTGTAATAGTCCACCTACTTACTTGTTTTGAAGAATATAAATTAAGCAAATTATATAGACGGCATTTCTTGTTATGTCTAGCTGGAGAAAATAGTCTGATGTGTGGCTTACCTGGGTGGGAAGCGGTTTGAATATGTTGAACGGAAATTCGAACCGACTTTCGGGCCGAACGCCTTTGAATGATGCCAGATGAGGAGAATTCGAGTTTCTGTTGCACGAAGATATGATGACATTTACAGTTTTACGCAATTCTTTGTTGTCATTATCGGTTCCAGGCCATTTTTTAAATTACTGTAATAATTTTTTATGACATACAAAGTCCTAAATATGTTTACTTTGGGAATTTGCAATCTATAATTTAATTAATCGGCCAAGGCATGCGCGTTTCATGTTTCGATAATGACATCTTAATGACCCGGGACACCTGTTTACGATGATATTTGTATTTTTGATTACATAACCTTTAACCCACGTAATAAAGAAAAGATTGTAGCATTAAGGCTTCGGAAGACTTTCATTCTTTGTATGTAATCTTGAAGCACTAGTGCAACTTTGTTTCCGGCGATCCCGTTCTGACGAATCCCTGGGATCTTTTAATTTTACCGAAACGGAAATCTTTATCACAAATATTTTAGAGCCAAATTAAACGTGACTTTGTCTTACTTTACTCGTCGAAGCGACTACCTTTCTCCCATCCAGTACATTTTAAGAGAACCCGCTTATGAGGAAGTAATATATTTACAATTAATTTCGTATATGAAAAGTTAATCCAATTCTCGCGGTTGGAAAATGAATGCCCTTAAAAAAGATTTTGCTATCGGCACGGAAGGAATGATGTGAATTTCAGGTTCATTCTCTTCTTTGGCGTCAGAATTCAGAATGATGAAACTTTGGGTATCCGTTTTGGCGTTGTTGGCCATCGTCTCCGCTGTCCTCGCCTATCCGCAGACTGTAAGTTGAGCAAACAGTTACAGTATTTTAAAAAATTGCATTGAAAAAATGATGCTTTAATGTTATTTTGTTGTTCTAGCCGTCCGAGTTTGACGCAGAATTCGCTCGACAACTCATTGGCCGTGCTTACAGTGCCTTGGCCAAGACGAAAAGGAGTCGTGAGTTCAAGAGTCAGTTCGCTTCTGTCGCTGTCAGAATAGATTAGTCACAATCACTGCCTAGTAGATGTTTGTAACTCTATTATCCCCGCTTTGCAGTTAGTTCGAATTTCTTGGGGATTTATTTGAATTCTTAAAACTTATAATAACTCAAAATAACCGCACTATTTTTACTATGTTTAAGTAGAAGATGACAACTTATCTGTATCATACAGTGCTTGTGTGGCAATGTGTTTAAATGCTTTGAAATAGATCGTATTTTCTCCAATTTCAGCTAGCATGGGACTCTCTCTAGCCGAGTACATGGCCTCGCCCCAAGGCGGAGACAACTTCCACTTCATCCCCTCAGGCCGGAAGTAAGCACTCGATTCCCAACCCATCCAAAGTGATCTCGCCGCCCCAAGAAATATAAAAATCAGTGACAAAGTGATGTCCAACCAAAAGGAGAAAAGCCGCCCATCGCCATTAGTTATATACATATTTCTATATAGTAATCCTGGTTTCACCCCGAACGTATTTTCTTTGTCTTGTCCAACACTTTTCGAGCAGTTCTTTTGTTGACAGTAAAACGAATTCATTTCAAATCTTTCCTTTATCTTGTTTCAAATCGCCGGTGCATTACCTTATGATTAAACTTATTCCACAGACAGTCGGTAAAACTAAAAAAGGCCAAAAAATCCGCACTTTGAACTCAAGGAGTGGAAAAAAGATCAATGCTGCGCAAGCGATGACACAAAAAAGTGAATTTATTATCAACAACATGGAAGAATAACAACTTGTTAACTGAAAAACTGTTTTAGTTTGTCCAGCGCCCTTGAACGATGACTAATTTGATGTTTTTCCTCTGGATTCATCTCGCCAAACGTTTTGTTGAATCCTTTGGGTTCGAAACAAGGATCCCATCCAAACGGTTCGGCCGTATTATACCTTGGAGTCACGATTTGACCATCGCAAATACCTAAATTTTCAATATCACTGTAAGAAAAAAAATATTTTTTTATTTTTTTTTTTCAAAAAGACTCTTACCTTCAAAGACAATTGGCTCTTTCTCGGCGCTCTCACAGTACGCAAAAATGCAAACCGCCTTGGCTGACTTGTCTTCAAACCCAGCTAGCATCTTATACAAGCCAAGTGGACCAAGATTCTCCAAGAAATACTTGATATAGGGTCCTGGGAGGCCTCCAAATGCGTTGAAGCATAAAGAAGTGTCCTCAACAATAACTGGAATCCCCAATTCTTTGTAGGCCTGTTTAGCCTTGGCCTTTACCACTTCCTCATACGATCCTTGAACCTCGAGGAGGTCAACTTTATGATGAGTAACATCAAAACCGGAGAGAATCTGCTTGACTTCGGCTAATTTTTTTAAGTTCGAAGTGACAAACACAAGAGATTTTTTGGTTGCCATCTAAAGCCCTTTAGGTCATTCAATTTACTGCCTTCAAGTCATCAAGCATCCTCCGGAAACTAGCCGATTTTCACTTAAAAACATCAAAATTCAATTTCGATTTACTACCAAACTATACAAAAACTAATAGAAATCCTAAAGAAAGCTGGTGCCGGCACCAAAGTAGACACCGGATTCGCAACGATCGCCACCAACATGAGCAACAGGGACCACATAGGAGAGTTCAAAACGGATAATGTTCTTCAAAACAGCCGTGACTCCCAGTCCAGCGGTGACTCGCATCGATTCGCTCATGTCTGATATCCATTCTCTCGACCTTACGGATGCCACGGTGCCTCCAGTTGTGAACGCGTGGGCGTAGAACTAAAATATAATTAAAATTGACAAACAAAATCAATTTCTATACCATAAAAAGTCACTTTTACTTACCACATCCTTCGGATATAATGGGAGAAAAAGATGTGCTCCAAAAGCAGCCGCCGCCGTCCCTCCAAGAACTGAATTCTCAGACCGTGGACCAATCGAATTGATCTCAAAACCTCTAACATCTTGTGGACCTCCGAGATACACTCGATCCAACACATGTAACGTCGTGTCTCCAATATTCTGCACTGCCTGCAGGTTTATTGTGCCTGACAAGAATGTTCCAAACGGCAATTTTGTGGCGGCCTAAATATACAAATAATACAATTTCAAGCCTTCTCACCTGTAATAATACTTCGTTCCTAACAAAACTGGAATCTCCTAAAAACGAAGCCAACTCGGTCATCAATCTGACGGTGGCACCAGTACTTGGCAAGATGGGACGATCACGGTTGTCGAATTGAATAACATTCTCTAATGAGATCTTGGTCGTGTGGCCGGCATGTTCTCGGATTGAAAATGCAGACTTGTCTGTTGGCAGCAATGTTCTCCATGACTAAACATACGAATCGCAAGAAAAAGCCACTTACAAAATTAAGTTTGAGCAAGTTGAAAAGTTTTTTGTTCATGAACGCCTGCCCATGTTGAACAACCATTGAATTCTCTGTCAGATTACAGCCATTCCAAGGAAGATATTCGAGAACTCGACGCAATGCAATTCCCGAGTTCTTATACACTTGCCATCCCAACCACGGTTTGATGTAGTTGACCGAGAATGTGTGCGCTCCTTTGATGGTGGATGAATATGAAACGTCGGCTGTCTCTCCTCGGCCGTATAAACTCTGTAATAAAAAAAGTTAATGTTCTTTTTTGTTCTGGTCGATCTAATTGGTCATGATGAAATAACAAAAATTTCAAACGTCACTTACCCCTTTCGAAGCTGTTAAACTTCCATCAACAGTTCCAGATGAAGTCACACCCATTTTGACGCCGGCTACAACCTTTTTCGGCTCCTTCACGACAAACCTGACATTATATCCGTTCCTCAGACCTGGTGTTTTCTCAATTAGTGCTGCACATCTCTCCATCAAGCCGACGTCCTAAAAGTGAGTCATGAGTAACATGAACAAACCTAAAACACAAAAAAAACCAAACAAACACTTACTTCCATATGCTGTGAGGCCATATGGGCTTTGACAATAAGTTCATTGAGATTCCTCGAGTTGTAAAGCTCGGCAGTCTCCTTTATTAACGCGTCCTTCTTCGTTTTGGTGACATTGTCGAAGCGAACACCAGTTAGAACACAAGAATGGGACTGGGTCTGGCCAAAAATAACCTGAGCTAGGTGGTAAGGCATTCGGCCAAACCAATATCCTCCTTCCTCCTTTTGTCCCACTTCCAAAAATAAATCCCGAAAATAAATTTCGCCAGCTCGCGCCCATTTTTTCGCGGACTGCGTATTGTGGGCGCAGCTCCCGCATTTATTAGTTGAGAATTGATAAAAGAGAATAACGAATTCTTTCCGGAGGACAACTCCGCGAATGCGCATGAATTGAAAACAAATTGGAACTTCATGTTTCGGCGTTTCGGGCATGGGAATTCGACATTATGGAAGGCCAAGAACGTTTTTACTGTCGATTACCTGAAGTGAGGTTATTTATGTTTGGTGTTTATTGATTTAGGTACATCCAAGGAGTTTTGGTGAAGAATGAAAAGGTCACCGAGAGCAACAAAGCCATATTAGTGGAGGCCGTACGCATGTGCACGGAGATTCTGATTTGGGGAGATCAAAATGACAGCACAATCTTCGAGTAGGTCATGTGGAATATCATCTTTTATTTCTTTAGTTTCTTCCTTGAGAAGCAGATGTTCACACACTTCGTGGGAGTTGTTAGACAGAGTACGAGTAACTATGTGAACGTTCAATTGTTGCAAACACTTAATATTCTATTCGAAAACATCAGAAATGAAACTGCATTGTGTAAGTCAAAGTTTTATTTTACAGTTTATTTTTATCTTTGCAGACTATTTGTTGAGTAACAACCATGTGAATCACATTTTAACACATCAATTTGACTTCCGGAATGAAGAGGTATTAGCGTATTATGTGTCCTTCCTCAAGACCTTGTCTTTCAAATTGAATCCAAATACGGTTCATTTCTTTTTTAACGAGGTATGTTCTCCAATGTATAATGCCGCTTACTGATAGATTTTTTAGTCTACCCATGAATTTCCCTTGTTTACCGAAGCACTCAAGTTCTACGATCATCCGGAATCAATGGCCAGAATTGCTGTTCGAACTTTGACTCTGAACACATTTAGAGTAAGATTAAACAACTTTTACTAATTTTTTTTTCACTTTTAGGTCGATGACCCCGCAATGATGAAGTTTGTTACCAGTCGAGCACAAGATTATTTTGGAAAATTGGCTAAAGTAGTTGCAAAACAAGTGATTGAGATGGATACATTTGCCAGATCGGCTCTAAATGAGACATCAAACAGAGATCGACTAATGAGTATGATCGACAATCATTTGGATAATGTTCATTACATAAATGATGTTTTGATGATACAAAAAGAGGAATTGGTAAGATATTTTTCTTTATTTTTGTTATTCTTTCTTTAGAATTCTCTGCTGATCAACAGTATCATGTATTTTGTGGTTGGCCCTCTCTATATGGCGTCATTGGCATCCTTGAGGGATACGAGTAACACCATTTTGCTTTCCAAAGTCAGCTCATTATTCTTGTTGAACCAGTTGTTTTTGATCATCCACTCCTCGGATATTGTGCAGTCAGTGTTGACGTCTCTTTTCTTTGGCGATGAGAATGATGTGAGGTCCCTGTGGAATCGATCAGTCGAAAAAGGATTGTATTTGGATTTGAGGAATCTGACCGACGAACCGGAGGAAAGGTAGGGGTGTTAAATGCAGCATAATTATCAATCTTTTTATCGGCTCAATTTTATTTTATTGTTTTAGAGTCTTCTTTTATGCGCATTTGAATGCATTGGTCGAAGAGAACGATGATCACTGCACCTTCTACGCTCTTCTTTTGATATACAATATTTGTCAGAACAGAGGTAAGTAATCTAAAATAAGGTGAATTTTCTCAAATACAGATATTTACTATTACACTACTGCCCTGAAAGGTATCGGTAAGGGTGTTGTGTCGTGGTCAGTGCTGTTGTTTTTAGTGTTGTAGTTGTATATTGTAATTGATTTTATGGTGTGATTTATGGGCAATTTATGTTTAGGAGTGAACAAGGATACTCTGGAAGCTGCTCAGATTCCATTGGATAAGAAAAGCGCAAGATGCGATCCAATTCTGGCCTCGCATCTTCTAAAAATAATAAGGAAGTGTGTTGTCAAAGGTAAGAAATTTTTTGATTATTATTCCGATTTTAGATACTCCTTTGCGCTCGGTCACCCTTGATATATGCTGCATAGTCCTTCGAGGGCTGATTTTGGCCCTAGAAGAAGACGATCAATTCCACAAGGACATTGAAGCGACCCTGGATGAAGTCCAAGAGCAGCTAGCCTCTAAACTTCGAGAAGTGGACAATGAAATTTTCTTGGAGATGTTCGAGGAAGAGCATTACAGATTTGAAACAACGACAATCAAAGTTAATAATCTCGCTCAAGAACCCGCATTGTATCTACCTCCCACCACTTCTGCTGGAAGTAACGTTGTGCTCAGTCAAAGATTACCTTATGGAAATGATGAAAAAATTAGAAGAGTAGGTTGATTTTGTGGCCTTTGGAGTACTTCTCATTTTTATTATGCACAATGAAAATCTTTTTTGCAGAGCCTTCAATTTTACTTTATTCTACGCAAATTTTCCCTGGATTTACGCGGCCTTCCCGAGCCAATTCTGCCTTTGTCCTCCAAGGTTCGAACCCTTGCCGAAATCAACGATTGTATCAATCTTAGTAAGTCATTCATTTGAGACGTATGTAACGCATTTTTTAGATAACAGCGATCTCCTTTCATGCACTGTGATACAAAACAATGAAAGGCATCCCAGGTTCTTAGTCACGGACCAATTTCAATTAATTTTGGTCGAACCGGATAGCAGAAAACTTGGATGGGCAGTGGTTTGCTTTGCCGGATTATTACAGGTATGTTCTTTTTATAAATTTTAATTGTTCCTTCCCTTTTAGGATACTCATGTAACGGGAGATCAGAATGACAGCCGAGCTCTTCATGTCGTCGTTGAGGACGTGAAATCCAGGATTAAGCCCAAGTCTCAACCTCAATTCAATGCGAAATTAGTCTTTGACGACCATATACGGTGCATGGCGGCGAAACAGAGGCTGGGAAAGGTAACAATTGGTCTATGTTTAGAAATATCAGGTGTAGTATTACGTCATTATGTTATTTGATATTGTTTCAGGGTCGGAAACGTTCTCGTCTCTTCAAGCTAAATCTCATCTCTGAATTGTTTGGTGGTAATACAGTAGACGAAAACAAATCTATCCCGGTGTCTCCGAACCCTGTCAACAACCATCGAGTCCTCTGCCTAGCCCCCGGCTCAGTCCAAGCCGTTCCTCATTCCCAGTCCAGCAATGCGAGTCTCTACTCGGTGGATCCTCAAGTCCCGGAAGACCCTCTTATGAGCCCAAAAGGCTCGATAAAGCATCTCTAGGTCATGTATTATATATCTCGGTAAATTATGGGTAATAATGATACAAATATTTTGTAGTACAGTGTAATTAAAAAGAACAAGGTTTATTTTTGACAGAAAAATTGTTGAGAAGTTAATCATGAAATTATAAAGGAAGTTGTGTACAAATAAACTTTTTTTCAGAAGGTCTTTCAGTTGTCTTCGATATTTATCTTCTTACAGGCATTGGTCAACTTCTGGAACCCAGATTCAGCCAAACACGAGCAAAGCTCACGAGCTTTTTCAGTCGTCCACATGGAGTTGATGCAACGCTTGGCGGTGTCCATGATTGTCTGATCCGACGGCAGTTTCAATCCGCAATTCATCCTCTCACTGCATTTGACCGTCCTTGTATCAATGCATTGCTTGGCACAGACCGCGAATGGAACGGCTTGGATGACCGCTTGTTTTAACGGGACCCCTCCATTCTTGGCAATCCACCTGTTGATTTCGTTGAGCATGATCAACTTGAGCGAGTCTGAACTGCGTCGCTGGATCAGAGGATTATCATCGGAAGGGCTTTTCAAACAACTAGTGTCCAGTTCTTGGCGAATACAGGTGATTACTCCATTCAGTTCAGGTTGATAGAACTTTACGCACTTGTGAGCGGCCGGATAATCAATTCCGATGGCAGTTAGTCGAGTTGAGCAGTGGGTTGCACATTGAGGAAGAGCGGCTGATACTCGATTGGCACAGGGCTTCAGATCATCGCATACACATTGAGGAGAACCTCTAGACTCTCCAGACTTGATCAGCAAGAAAAACAGAAGCAAGAACCCAAATCGAACGAACATTTTCACCAGAATGAGATCGGTCCCAGATCTGGCATCGCGTTTTTACGACCATAAAAGCTGTGCATTCGAATATGTAATGAATTGCGCATAATTTGCCACAAAACACAGAGATATCGACGCACAAGGTTGCGTTGAGCCGTAAAACTCGTCTTTCTTCTAATAAGGTATTTATTTTCTGGGCTATTCTCTTATTGCGAGAAAAGTCGCGAAGCTTTGTTCTGCAAGGCTCGTTGATCTTTGATTATCCCTTTGTAGTCCAATTCAACACAAATCCCGTTGTAAAAAAAAAGATTTTTTTTGAAAAAATCCTAAATTTTGCATTTTATCATCATCTGTTTCAAACACTAAACATGAAAAATTTTGGACTAAAAAAATCTCTTCATAACCGGTAATTCTCATCTGAAACCTTCAAAAGAATTCACATATAACAATATAAATATTTACTACTTTTCCTATTGAACTACATTTTCGTTATTTCCATGCGAATTTTGAGAAGAATTCGATTCCAGGAGTAATGTCGGCATGTTTACTTCAAACACTGTGCCATCTTCCTCCTTTTCGAGTTTGAACTTTCCCCTGAAATAAAAAAATATTAGAATTTTACTTGGTTTCTCACCATAAATGCCCGCCTTTCTTTTGTAATAACTGCACGGTGCTGCTGAATTGATAGGCCGGATCTGCAGTGGATAATCGAGGATACTCTCCAACAACTCCACCACCATTCACTTGAGTCAGATTGTTTAGAGAAAACACTTTGATTTGCCGATCTCTGAGAATTAGATCGCTTCCATCCAAGTTCTCAAGTCTAACCACATATCTCCAGCAGTGTTTGATTTGGCCGTTGATTGAGTTTTGTCCTAAGTAGAATGTAGTGGCTGTTACTCGAACATTATTGGTTGTTTCCACATGTGTTGCCTGCGGGGCCATCCATGATCGTTGGGACGGGACATTATGCGTGTTCACATATCCGAGTTCTAAAATCATGGAAAAGAAATTCGAAGAATGTTTACCTGGTCGATTTGGGTCCATGAATTTGAACAACCGGTCGAAAAGATCATGATCAATCGGTGCTGTACCATTCTTTTGGACTCTGTATTCCAAGGGCAATATGTCATTGTGTGGGACACAGTCCATTCCATTGATGATTCCAATACTTTTCCCTTCCCGGCCACCATTCTCAGACAGGTAGACTGTCAAATCCACGGGCATTCTCATGTGATCCCAATCGCCTTTGTGAATAAGCACTTGGTAATAAGGGACCACTTCAAATTTTGACGTGTTCTCGTTCCTAAACATATAAACATGCAGAAGGAGAGGTAATTACTCACGCTTTTTGCTTTCCATACACTTTGCAGTCGAAAGAACATACTACAACTCCACGATAGGCGAAAACTCGATGTAAAAATACCTAAAATCAATGAATAACAAGAAAGAAAACATACTTGTCCCGCTGGGTATCTGTCTTCGACCTTCGGACTACTGAGAGTACCTAATTCAACCAGATTTGGGGCCGCTGAGAAGCGACGACATCCAGCAAGAACTCGAGACAGCTGCCGTGGATATAAAAGTAGCATACCTTAAGTGCTAATCAATAAAAATACAATGAAGAAGAAGAATGTCAATCATGTACAAAATATTTCAAGCGGAACGAGCTGATAACCATTTGTTTCAAAGCAATTTTTTAACAATTTATACCTAAAACAATATCAACAATAAAAAATAGTCTATTTTCTTCCTGAATGGACAGCGCAGACACCAAACGACAAGTTTTGGTAAGTAATGTTCTTGAAACCAGCAGTTCGTATCATCTCGCTGAATTTCTCCTAAAAAGTATATTATTTATGTCGAATTCTGCGAAAAAATGTAGGAATCTAAAACCTACTTGATCGGGGAACATTCTTATACTTTCAACCAGATACTTATAGCTGTCATAGTCATTCGCCAACAATCTTCCCATTTGCGGAATCACGTTGAAGCTGTACAGATCATAAAACGGCCTTAGAGGAGAGCAAACTTTGCTAAATTCAAGGCAAAAGAAACGGCCATTTGGCTTGAGGACTCGATGAGCTTCCTCTAACGCCTTGTCAACGTGTGTAACATTTCGAATTCCGAAAGCGATTGTGTAGAGATCAAAGGAATTGTCGGCGAAAGGCAGTTTTTCGGCATCTCCGCAGATCCATTGGAACTTGTCTGGCAAGGTTTTGTCTTGGGAAGCGCGAAACTGGCCAACATCCAACATTTTCTAAAAGCGGATCGGTTTTACTCTATTCTTCCTTATATGGACATAATCTTGTCAAAGACCTAAAAACCAACAAAAAAAGCTATAAACAACTGACCTGATTGATGTCACAAACAACAATGTCTCCAGTACTTCCGGGAGTCTTCGCCGTCTTACGAGCAATTCGAAAAGCTATATCGCCGGTCCCTCCAGCGACGTCAATAATTTTCCAGTCTTTCCGAACATCCAATTGTTCAACAAAATGATCTTTCCAAAGCCGATGAATCCCAGCACTCATGGCATCATTCATCAAGTCATATTTCTCCGCAACATTTACAAATACAGTGTGAACTGAAAAAGAAAAATCTTAGAGCTCAACTGATGATACAACACTCAAAGAACGATTGTTTGTTCCACCTAAAATAATATTGATAAGGTAGAAAACATACCCCTACTGGCTTTCTCATCTTCTGGAACCTTTTCAAAGCCAAAATGAGTTGACGAAGCTCTTGTGCAATGAGCAATTATCGCTTGAGGAACAAGTCGCTGGAGCAACATTTCGATCTTCCTCGAGAAAATTTTTTTTTCGGAAATTTATCTTTGTGTCAACTGTTGGCTTGTTCGGTCAAGTGTTGCTCTGGTAAGGTAAAATACGATAATGATACCGAAGTTGACGAATTCTGGTTGATAAAAACACGAAAAGGTATTTTTGAAGCACTATACGTCTATTTATGGTTATATTTTCTGCCCTTTCTATAATATTTTTAGTAATAACACCTTATCAAAAGTACAATATGGCGGAACTCATTGTGCGGCTCTTAAAACATCCTATTTTGGAGCGGATGTTAAATTATATCTCTGGTTAAGTAATAAAACACGGCGGCCACCTGAAAATTCTTTTTCTCGAAGGGTTCTGTCTTTCCCTTCAAGGAAAATTTCAATATACCATCTTTTCTACAGTAACCTTTTTGGATTCAATCGTTGCGCCAATCTTGTTCCAGGCCTTCTAGATGAGAGGCACGTGCAGATAATTATGCTAGCTGCCACTAGAGATTCGCATTTGAATAATTTGCTTTACTAGCCAGATTAATCACCCTCTGTAAATACTGCCCCCCATTTAACGTATCAAAGTTTTATTGCTGTTTATTTTTGATATACGACCTCTGGCAGGGATCACGGCCTTCCACTTACCGTCAAATGTTATTTCCAATGTTATTGGAAACTTTTTTTGTGTTCGACCGCCTGCTATTGTCAACGTTGGATTTATTTGTGAAAGTTTAGAGACGAAGGGCCAGAGTTTACTTATGCCCGTCACATGCGAATTGGTTCAATTTCAAAGCGATTTTCGCGCAAAAAAGACTGTTATTTGGAAAAGGGATTGTGCAACACAAATTTGGTAGATGGATTGTCAAAGGGATCTGAACTTTTCCCTCTCAACTTTACTCGGACTTGTTTAAACTTCGAATCGAGTACGGTGGATGGGGTGTCGGATGGAGGGGTTGATGACGTTGGAAGGTGAAAGATGAGGGGACAGATCGGGATTATGAGGGGTGGGGCAGTTGTTTGAGACACCGTAAGTGCGAACGGCCAAATCACTTAAGTGCAGGTTGAACTGTGTGTAGTTTAGATTACATGTGTGTCAAAATTTGTCGAGAACACACATCTTACAAGTTCTTGAACGAGTTACGGTCGGTCTTCCTAGATCATCAGCTTTAAGTCATCTTTTATATGGTACAAACGAAATACTTGTGAAACATGGCCATAGTTATAATAAATCATGTTGCTCAAACCTTTTTACCTATAATCACCATGACGTTTCAAAATTTCAGCACAGACTAGACAATCCTAACCTACGAATTCCGGCCCTTGTTCCCTTCCCTTTGACCATACTGTACTTGGTCAATAAACGATTGCACAACTTTGTTTATATATGAAACGTTGCGGTGTTTTCGGTTTTATGTTGCCACTCAAATGATCTCGTAGAGAGACGCCCAATCATGTGTGTACAACAGGGTCAGGTTATGTTGGAAATATCGAGAATAATCTTTTTATATCCGGATTTAACTGAGAGCCGGTATTCGTGAGGGGTTACTTCAGCAATCATCGGTTTTTAGCGTGAAGTTACCGGTAACACGTTAGAGCCAAACAATATCTTATAAAAACTATTTTCTTATATATTTGTGTTATACTTTAGATTACTCTTTAAAGCTTTCGTCAACAAAAAATCGGTATGATTTTGTCACCAAAAAGTAGTTTGATTCCAATTTTGGAAAGGAGCAAATATTTGTGAGGAAATGCTTATATCATAGATCAACAGTTAGGTGTTATTTCTGTGGTATAATCCGCCTATTCATTGTTGCCCCGAGGGCTTCGCGCGGGATTGTTTGTTCGACCAATTAAGCGTCAATTAAATAGGCAGGTTCAGGGATCTGCGCGAGGTCATGTTTTATTTTGACAATGCCGGGAGGTCAGAGGTTTCCGTAGAACTTTTGCTTATTAATTCGTCATAAATATTTATATGTCATCCATTACGCGACCACAAAACAGAGAGAATTTGTTAAAACAATGACGTATTTTAACAAGCTTTCAAGTAGTCTTTAAAAGTCTTCAAATTTAAACGCTTTTATAATGAAAAATGCAAACAGAAGGTCCAAGTTCCCATTGTGTTCTTTTGTATTTTTAGCTTAGCTTTGCAACAGAACACAGTTAACTGTTAAAAATATTTTGTAGTAACGTTGATGACTTTTTCTTCTGCAATTTTGAAGACTTTTTTTCTGCGTGCAAATGAAGTAATAGCTCTTTGACGTTGTCTTTGCAGATATGACAAAAATCTTTGTTTCGACCGACCTTCCACCTCAGATTTTGGCCCCAGATGTCACAAAGTCAGATCGTTATCCCTCTTATATTCCGACTGATTCTTCATCAGAACGACCAGAGCCAACCTTCAAATTCTTCAAAGTTTTTAACACAAGGACTCGATTCCTCATTATGATCAATGTTTTGTTATGTCTGGCGTCGGTTTGGTCCAATATTTTGGCATTCAATTTTGCACTGGTATGCTTTAATCAAGGCGGAGAAGACGAAGATGATAAAGGCGGGGATGTAATATTTACATCCAGACAAGTCTCGTTTCTGACATCAATAGTTGCCGCAAGCGCTTTTGTCGCCAACTTTATTGTTGTTCAAATTGTAAGCCCAACTTTTATTCACACCGTTAATTGAATTGTAATAAGGAAAGTTCGTGTTTCAGGTCAATCGCTTCGGAATCCGAACGCTTTTTACGTTTCTTGGCCTCCTTTCTGCCGCGGTGACTGCTCTTTTACCATTAGCAATATCCTCCGGTTACTATTTTACTCTCATTTTACGGGCTCTTCAAGGAGTCGCGTTCTCCGCGAATTTCCCGGTGATTGGCGCATTCTCCTCCAAATGGACGTATTACAAGCAAAATGGGTTATTTGTATCGGCATTGGTCGCGTATGTGCAGTTATCGCCGGCCATTACAATGCCAATCAGTGGAGCTCTCTGTGAAAGTTCCATGAGCTGGCCTTCTGTGTTTTATGCACATGCTATTGCTTCAGCGATATTGTTCGTGTTGTTTGGGATTTTTTATAGGAATAGTCCAGGTAAAATGACTTTGGGTTAATTTCAAGGAAAAATATTTAATTCCAGAAAAGCACCGATATGTTGGCGACACGGAGCTGAACAAGATCAAAAAGTTCAAGACCCAAGCCAACAAAAAAGAACTCCGTTCCATTCCGTACCGTCAAATCCTTACGACTCCCTCGGTTTGGGCGGTTTGGATTGGTGGAATTGGCAACTTCGTATGTGTGAACATGATGTTCCTCTATTCCCCAACATACATGTCCAAAGTCCTCGGATTTCCAGTCCATAGCACTGGAATTTCTTCGGCGTTGGCTCCTTTGGCTCAATTTTTAATCAAATTATTTGCCGGATTCACAAGCGACAAAGTTAAATGTCTCAGTGAGACAAACAAATTGAGATTATACAATACAGTGGCCTTCTTTGGAAGCGCATTATTGTTGCTGACATTGGCATTCTGGCCCTCAGATCAACACAAATTTATGTTACTTTTATTTGGGGCTTCCGCCGGATTATTGGGCTTTACTACAGGCGGATTTTTCAAGGCCGGCCCGTTGGTTAGCAAGCAGTACAGTCACTTTGTAACAGGAAACATTTCACAGAGTGAGTTACAGCATCAGAAGTGGGAAAAAATTGGGAATAAGTCAGAAAAAAAGCTAAAGTCGTGAAAAAATAAACAAAAATGATGACAAAAATTATGATGACAATTTTTCAGCGATCACAATCACAATGTTAATAGTCCCGTTCATGGTGAACGGCCTCGCACCCGACAACACGGCCGAGCAGTGGAGGTGGGTGTTTGTGGTGACGGCGGCCGTATTGGCCACCACAAACCTCTTGTTCATCATCATGGTCTCTGCTCTGCCCGCACCTTGGACTCAGTCTTTGAACTCGACAGAAACCTCGGCCAACTCGAGCACTTCAACCCGCGCATAATCCCTTCTGGTTATTTGCTTTAGTTCTCCTGTAATCTCGGTGCAAGGAGCGATTGTAAAAACAAAAAGATTAATTGGTCATACTCAGGTCTAATAAACACATCCAGTTTCAAGCAATCTTGAACTTATTTCAAAAGCAAAAATCGCCAATATTAAAAAGTTTTATGAAATGCTTTATTAATCTAAATGTCTGATAGTACGCAAAGAAAAGAAGAAGTCTTTGGGGGTTGCTCTGATACGATACTATTAAAAATTCATACAATTACATTCGGCTAGGAGACAGACTAACCAAATGCCAAAAACAAAAAAATGTTCTGGAGAAGATCACCCGACCGCGTCAGCTTCAAAATGCCGCCAAGCAGAGAAGCCGAAGGGCTTGAAGGCCGCCAAGCAAGACAAACCCTCAGGCAACTCGTTCATGAAGGACCCGGAAATTGATCGAAGAGAACCAGAAACAATTACAACAAGATAAGCATGACACTATTTGTGGATAAGACCCCGATTTTATAACAATTAAAGGACATTGAGAAAGAAGAAGAAGAAACGAAGAGTACGGAGGAAAGAGAGAGGGGCCGACGAACACACTGCGGTCAAGATAACATGCTATAAAGGGAGGAGAGAGAACAGAGAGAACGGATACGAACTATTGGAGAATACCCGAATTTCACGGCATGTCGACGATTTTGGCTACATGAAGTGAGTGGTTTGATTAGAGAGGACCGATTTGTTCATTTCCTTGGCGAGCTTACTCCTGCGTGGGCGCCGACTTGATGGCCTGGTTGATGATCTCGACGGTGTCCTTGTGGCGCTTGCCTTGCACGATCGAGTCGTGGTCTCCGGACACCACCTTCACGTCACAGTAGTCCGAAACCTGAAAATGGAAAATTATTATACCGATATTTTATATTCTCATGATTTTTCGACAGTGCTACTATACAGTAAAGTGATCAAGAACTTGAAATGCTTACCTGTCCAACACCGTAATCTTGTCCAACATCCTCTTCTCGAGCGGCTCCTTGTTCAGCACGGATCAGCGTAATTTGTCCGTGGAAGGTCTTGTCTGGCTTGTATCTGAAAATATTTGTCATAAACGAGCCAACAGTATACATGATGAGTCATATGTTGAAGTAAACTTACTTGTCAGCCATCAAGAACTTGGATCTCATGGCTTCACAGGCGAACTCAACAGTGCCGGGAGACTTGAAGAATCCGGTCTTCATGACGGTCTCCACGACCTTGTTGATTCTGGCCTTGTAGTTGGGGAGTTGGAGCATCTCCACACGGAACTTTTTGTAGTCGACGTTGGCGAACCGCAGCGTCATGGCACACATAATTTCAGATTCAAAGAGTGGGTTGTTGACCAGTGTGTCACCGGTGACACCAAAGGCGTGACGATAGACCTGCAAGATTTTTTTAAATTATGACAAAAGGAGGTTTTATGAAGAACTATGAAAATTTTCTTACATTTCTGTACGTTTGCATGTATAAGTGAGATCCATCCAATAAGATAAGTTTTTCAACGCTGTTGGCTCCTAGCTGCTCCTGCAGTTTGGTGGCCATTTCGAAAGCAATACACGATCCATAGGAGTAGCCGACCAGTCGATATGGGCCTTCCGGCTGAACCTTCTTCATCTCCTTGATATAATACTCGGCGACGCTCTCAATCGAGTCAGTGGGGACATTCCTCGTGAATTGGAAGCAGTAGGCAGGGAAGGTACATTTGGACATTACTCGGTTCAATGGAGTGGCGATACCTTCAATTGGATGGACGAAGAAGGTAATCGGGCCTTCGGTCTCCTTATTGCACTTGACAATCGTCTCTTCGGGGTCGAGATCGTTCACATCTACTCTGAGTTTGAACAGCTGACTGAGTTGTTTCTCCAAGACTTCAACGGTGTTCTGCTGGGCTTCTCGTTCTTGTTCCTTCTTCATTTCCAGCTCGGTGTTGGCTTGAAGAACAGTTGAAGATCCTCCGCCTTCGGCCATCTTCTGGAGCTTGTTCAGGGTGAGTGTTCGGATATCTTTCATGGACAGCGTGATGTCATAATCTCTCTCCAAGGCCTGTTTGATTTCCACACCCATCAACGAGTCGAGACCCAGATCTCCGAGGTTGGCATCAGGGTTGATTTGAGAGATGTCGTTGACTCCAAGGATATGAGCGATGGTCTGAAGCAAGTTTCCACCAGTTGACGACTTCTTGCTTCCGGTGTCAGCCTTCACGTAACTCGAGACAATCGGGTGATCCCAGTTCAAGAACATATCCAAGGCACTCAAGCAGCTGGGCATACGTTGAGGAAGGGTTCCGCCGACGACGGTGTTGTTGTCACCCATGTTCTCCAGGATAACACCAACATCACCAATGGCTCCCCATTGAATGGCAATACCAGGGTAGCCGTCCTCACGACGTTGTTCGATGATACGTTCCATGGTGGAATTGGACCATCCATAGTTGGTTTGTCCGGCATTACCACGACCAGAAGTGATCGAGGAGAAGACGACGAACCAACGAAGGGTTTCCGCTGCAAATTCACGAGTAGCATTGTCGATGTTGATTGTTCCATGATACTTGGCTTCAGCCGCATCCTTGAAATTCTGGACATTCTGATTCTCGAAGAGGCAATCACGAAGAACCATGGCCAAATGGAAAACTCCTCCAATTGGGCCGATCTCTTGACAAGAGCGGACCAATTCACGAGCATCCTCGGCGTTCGCGATATTCAAAGTCGAGACTTGGACCTTGATACCAAGACGACGCCAGTAATGGACACAACGGGCTTGGTAGCCAGTTCGGATACCAGATCTGGAGGTCAGCACGATCTTGCGGGCATTTCTGTTGATCAACCACTGAGCCAGCTCCAATCCAAAACCTCCGAGACCACCGGTGATCAAGTAGACATGGTTGGGGTTGCAGAGAGTTCGGCACACTGCCTTCACCTTGATCTTGGATGGCGGGGTAACCAGCTGCTTCTCTTCTTCACGGACCTTGATCAACACTTTTCCGATGTGTTTACCAGCGGACATGAAGCGGAAAGCTTCCTCGGCCTTGTCGGATTCGAAGACGGATGATGGGAGAGGAACAACAACTCCCTCCTTCATTCCTTGGTTTAGGAGTTCACGGCATTCCTTCCAATCCTCCTTCTTTCCGACAGACTGATCCATAATGGCATCAAGCAAGATACCATGGAAAGTGACGTTCTTCAAGAAGACGGCCATTCCAAGGGCATTGTTGAGGGAAAGATCGACCTTTCCGATTTCCAAGAATCGACCGTGCTGGGCCAGACAACGGACGGAAGCCTGAAGTGACATAAAATTATATTCAAAATTTTTTGGCCTTTTTAGGGAACGTTTATGGAGTAACGAAGGCTTCAAAGCTGATCAAAATCTTACCTGAAGCATTTCATTGGCCAACGAGTTCAGCACAAGATCAACACCACGTCCACGCGTGTGATGTCTGATGTGTTGTTCGAAGTCCGAGGTACGAGAGTTAGCGAGGTTCTCAGGCTTGAGTTGAGGGAATCGCTTCAACAAGTATTCTCTCTTCTCTTGAGTTCCCACAGTTGTGTAGACGGTGAGGCCATATTGAAGAGCAATGGCAATGGCAGCTTGACCAACTCCACCAGATCCACCATGAATCAGGATGGTCTCTCCCTTGCGGATTCTTCCTCTCATCACCAAGGCGTAGTAGGCGGTGGCGTAGACCACAGGCACAGTCGCAGCTTCAGCCAAACTCCAGTTGTCAGGAACAGGCCAAGTGTAATCTGGATCACAAATAACGGAGGTAGCCAAGGCTTGAGCAGGCAGGATTCCCATAACTCTTTCTCCTTGAGGAAGACGACCAGCAAATTCCATACCCAAAAGACATTCACGATCAGCGAATTGACCAGGAATGGCATCTGGAGGCAGACGTCCGTAAGCCAACATGACATCACGGAAGTTGACAGCAGTGTAATAGACTGAGCAAAGCTTCAGATGCTGGGGTCTTCCTGGAGTGATGTCGAAGAATTGGTTCGAGTTCTCAACCCAAGTCAAACTGGAGACATCACCACGGACAAGGGTGTTGATGAAGGCGTGCTCCACTTCTTTGCGAGTGTGGAGATCATCATCCTTGACAACAATGTGGCGAACAGACCCCCAGACTCCATCGCGGTAGTTGTTGGCGTGGAGATCAAGTTGGAGGAGGTTTTGAACGACCGGATCATCGATGTGCAGCTTGGCTGGACCCTCACGATTGGCCTTCTTCACACTGATGTCAGCCAAAGTGCGGAAACGGTTGAACTTCAAGTTCTCTTCACTAAAAAAGAAAAATTGATGAACTGGTCGAGGTAAAGTCTAGTAATTGAGACGCTATTGTAACTTACACAAAACAGAGGGCCAATCCGAGAGTTCCGTTGTTTCTGACCTTGGTGTTGGACAACCAGATGGTCTTGTAATCCGGCTCATTCAAACGTTCCTCGATGACCTTTTGAAGAGGCTCAATCCAAGTGAATTCCTTGATATCGTCGATATCAACAATAGCTGGTTCACGAGGAGTTTGAGCGACCTTTCTGACGACGAAAGTGGTTGTGCTCAATGCTGGATCAGATTGACGGAGACAGAGTTTGTAGCCGGCAGCTTGAAGACGTTGGCAAAGTTGTTCCTGAGTAAAGTATACTCCAAAGACACGATCGGAATCTTCGGGAAGATTATAGCCGATGAGAGATTGCACAAAGTAGGCCAACTCATGGTCCTTCGTGACTTCGTTGATGATCATGAAACCATCCTCACGCAGCAGTTCCGCACACCTGGCCAAGTATTCTTCAGGGTTCTTCTGACGCCACAAAACGCGATCCAAAAGAATGTAATCCATATTCTTCACATCAGTGGTGTTCTTGAATTCAGGGCCATCGAAAACAAGGCGATGACGAGAAGCTCCAAGTTGAGTCAAGGTGTTCTCGTCAAGATCATCAACATTAGGTCCAGCACAATTCCAGTCAACTTCCAAAAGGGGATGGGAGTTGATTCCGTTCTTGCAATGCTTGATCTGATCGGAAGACGTCAATTCAATTCCACAGAACTTGTTCTTGTGTCCAGCCGAGTTCTCAATGCAGATATCCTGAGCCGTCTTCAAGAGACGATCATGCAGAAGACAAGAAGCCCAGTAACGATCACTGTCAAAGGTCTTGTACACGGACTTCAGCTTGTTGGAGACATTGTTGGCAAAGTCCGAGGATTCCGGAGAAATGTTCTCGAAGACTTCTGCTATGGCTTGAGCAAAGGTGCATTTGGAATCCTCCTTCAGTTTGTCAAAGGTTTCTTCCTGGTATTTGACACCTTGCTTGGTCAGAACATCCAAGATCTTTTCGTATTGAGGGATTGAGCTGAGGGCTTTGGCTTCCTTCCATTGTTGAAGTCCTTTGAGAATATATCCCTTAACGGCATTGGCATATTGGCTGAGGCGTTCAGCATCCTTGGGGAACTCGGAGAGGGCGCTGGAAATGACAATAAAAGCGATTTCGCCAAAAGTTCAAAAGGCAATCGCAAAATTTAGCTTACTTTTCGTCGAAATGCTTGACGAAGTACAACTTCTCCAGGTAGAGTTGGCCTGCAGATTGCATACGACGCTGGACAGTGTGGGCGGTCAAATCACAGCACTCAACGCCACCGGCGACGCAACCGTTGGTGGCGATGTCATTGCGCAATTCGACGACTTGGATTCCATCTCTTTCCTCGACCGAAGCCAAGTGCTTGACGGGGTCGATGCGGAGATAACGGACTCTGGTTGGCAGCTTCAACGTGTCGTTTCGCTCGGCCAACAGAGCAGTTTGAAGCAGGGAGTCCAAGAAGGTGACCCAGTTGCCGGTCCAGTACAAGGTACCCTTTTCTCCAGAGTTGCAGGTACGGTAGATTCCGCGGAAAGCTGGTCCGTACTCATAACCCCGCAGAAGGAATTCTTTGTAGGCATCTTCAGTATCCAACTCAATTCTTTCAGCCAATTTAGAGGTCTCGATGGCCTTCAGATCTTGATAGTAGAATTTGCGGTTCTCATCGGGAATGTAGATTCGACCACTGGCAGCCAATTGATCCCCATCCAAAATCTCGAAATCGCCATGACCAGGTGAGATGACAACGTCCAAACGGATAGCCTTGTTCGTGAGGATGGTGGCATTGTAGACATTGATGTTCTCCAAAATGACTGGAGTCTTCTGGAAGTCAACTCCTTGCAGTTTACACAAAGTCTTCCAAGCCAACACCATATGGCCAGTGAAGGGGAAGAGAACGCGGCCATCAATGACGTGATCCAACAAGTAAGTCTCCTTGGAATCGGCAGAGAATGGATCAATGTTGTAGGAAGCAGATGAAGCAACCGCTCCACCTCCTCCAGAGCTGAGAAGTTTTCCATCGATGACGGGCCAATCCTGACTGTGGTCCCAACGCCACATGGGGGAGATCATGGGAGTTCCGAGTGGGACTGGGAATGGAGCTTGAGGGTAAAGTTTCTCAACGTGGATGGTGGCTCCGGCTTGGTAGATCTTTCCAAGAGCAGACAAGAAGGATTCCAACTCGTTCTCGGCGGTTCTGTTCATGAGGCCAACGTTGCTGCAAGTCTTTTGAAGATTTCTTCGGAGAATGGCTTGCATCAGACAATGAGGTGCCAATTCGACAGTGATGGCACTGGCTGGGATCTTCTGAAGACCCTCGTAGAACAACACGGGATTACAGGCGTTGTTGGTGTGGTAGTCGGCTGAGCAGTAAAGGGCGAGCTCGTCGTCCCAGTTCTCTTCGGGGATCGAAGTGGAAATCCATTTGGAAGAACGCGGTTGAGGCTCGGGAACGACGGTTCTCATTGCCTCCAACATCTTCTCGCGGCAAACGGCGAGGATGGGAGAGTGGAAGGGGATTCCAGATGAGTCAACTTCCTTGGCAAAGATCTCTTCGGCCTTTAATTCTTCGACAAATTTCTTCAGCTGAAATTAGAGAGAATTATAATTGTCCTCACAAAACAAGAGTTGGGCATAAAGCGATTACAAAGTCATCTAAAATCTGCTCACCTTGATGGCATCTCCGGAGATGGTGACAGAGTCGGCTCCGTTGTGGCAAGCTGGGTAAACATCAGCAGGACATCTTTCGCGAGCCTGCTCCCAAGTCAAGCCGACAGCGGCCATAGCTCCTCCGGTAATATTTGCTCCCATAATGCTGGTTCCACGGTAGTAGGCCAGCTTCATGGTCTGATCAGCAGTCAAAGCACCATCAGCGTAACCACAACCCATCTCACCAGTGGAATGGCCGATAATTCCATCTGGGACAACTCCCAATTCCTTGAGGGTATCGGTCAAAGCGATTTGGATGGCAGTAATCGCCAACATGCAGTTCAAGGTGTTGTTCTTGTACTGCTCGGGGTCGTCGTTTTGCAGCATGGCGTATACGTCCTTTCCGAACTCCTTAAGGGCATCGCTGCACTTCTTGAGGGAGTTGTTAAAGACTTCTACGGCCATCAATTTCTTGGCCATTCCTGGCCATTGGGATCCCATTCCAGAGTAGACAAACCAGATTGGGCGATGCTCAGTGATAGGGATCTTTTGAATATCGACCAATGGATCAACGCCTTCTCCACGGTTCAACATCAACACACCACGGAATGGAGTGTCCTTGGGTGGGAGATTGGCTTGATTGGCCAAGAGTTGATGAAGATAGACGTTATCGGCGTGCTTCTTGACATTCTCAAAGATGTTCTCAACGGCCTCTTTGGTACGTCCAGAGTAGAGGATGACTTTGGGGATAGTTGGAGTGGGGATTGGTGGGAGAGCCTTCGGCTTTTCTCCGGCTCTCAGGATGACGTGAGTGTTGGAACCTCCGAATCCGAAAGAGTTTACACCAATGAATCCACCGTTGATTGGGGTTGGTTCTGTGACAACTTTAAGGATGCCTTCCTTGAGCCCTTCAATGTATTCGTTGGGCTCGTTGAAGTGCAAGTTTGGAGGAATGGTTCCACGGTCCATGGCAATCAACAACTTGGTAATCGAGGCTAAACCTGAAGCTGGCTCAGCGTGACCCATGTTCGACTTGACGGATCCGATGAGCAGGGGTTGGGTTCTAAAAATTATAAAATTTGTAAAAAACAACACGAACTTTGCAAGTATCCGACAGAAAATTAACCATGATTTGGCTATTGAGTACTGATCTTACCTGTTTGAGCAGAACACCTGAGTGATCGCATAGGCTTCTTGGGGATCTCCAACCTTGGTTCCAGTACCATGGGATTCCACGTAGTACACGGTGTTGGGATCAACATTGGCCTCACGATAGACTTCTTCGAGCAGGTCAGCTTGGCGTTCACCTCCGGGGAAGGTGATTCCCTGCTCTTTGTAACCGTCGGTGTTGGACTTGGCATGCACAACCGTAGCGTAAATACGGCGGGCATTGGATTGACGTTGGAGAATGATGGCGGCGACAGCCTCCGAACGACAATACCCGTCTCCGGACTGGTCGAAGGACCGGCAAGATCCGGCGGGACTCAGCATGCCCAGCTTCAAGAACTGCAGGGCGGCGGTTGGGGTCAACGTGAGTTGGGAACCAGCGACGATGGCGGCTTCGCACTGGTCCTGACGAATCGCGTCGACGGCCAACTGCAACGCCAACAGAGAGGAGGAGCAGGCCGTGTCCACCGAGAACGAGGGTCCTCGAAGGTCGAACGTGTATGAAAGACGGTTGCTGAACATGCTGCGCACGCAGCCGGTCAGTGTGTATCCGGTGACTTGTTCGGGGTCCTGGGTGAGGGCGCCTCCTGTCTCTGAGGCCGAACACCCGACGAACACACCGGTCTTGGTTCCGCGCCAATCCTGGGGATTGATACCTGAAATTGATGAGATTTAATTGAGCTTTCTGCTTGTTCTTTAGTTCTTGTTTTTTATCTTTTCTTTTAGCACCTTTTTCCTTGTGAAATCTCAAATTTCGACTTTTACTGTCACCTATAAAGTATCGGAATGCCTCTACGACCGGTTCTCTTTCAACACGAACTCTGACCTTTACAAAATCTTTAACTATGCTACTTTCAGTCGTAAACTCGACTGTTTTCATGTTTCCATTTGATTTTGTTTTTGTATTTTATTTCGGCGGCCGTAAAACTTGTTCCCTCTCCCCCGTAATTGGCAATAAAGATTCAAAAAAACAAATCTTATACTTTCCCTTAACTAATCTTTCCATTCAAGTTTTTTGAGGAGGCTTCTGTGTGCACTTTAATCAGAATTTGTTAAGAAACGTTGACCGGATCAATTGAAAGAGTATCTCTCGCACTTCTCGCCGTCTTCTCTCGCTCTGACGACGGCGAGAGTTTTGCGGGACTCAGTTCAAGGTTGAATGGCACCTTAAGGTACAAATTTACTGGCTTTTTGGATTTTGCTCCAAAAAACGGCAGAGAAAACGCTTACCGGAATCAATCATGGCTTCGTAGGAAACTTCAAGGAGTTTGCGGATCTGAGGGTCCATGAAGTTGGCCTGAAAATAATCGAGATTGGGTTTTCATTCCTCAGACATACACCTATTATAATATAAAATTAAATGGAGGTTTAAAACTCACTTGTTTTGGGGTGACACCGAAGAATCCGGCATCAAATTTTTTCAGATCCACCAATTTACCATGGCGTTTGGGTAGATCAAAGAGTCCTAAAACATTTACCATGTAATAAAACGGCTTTAAATTAAATTTGACTCTAAATAAGTTTTAAAAATAAAACGGGAATTGAAAATTGAATTCAATCTTACCTGGTGGCCATCGGAGATCATCTTCGGTGACCAGATCCTCTCCTGCTAGGAGATGGTCTCCGAATTCTTCGACATTTTCGGATCTGGGAAATCGACCACTGACTCCCGAGATGACAATGTTTTCTTGCAGGGCCCAGTACGGTTGGTGAGGCTCATCTGTACTGCCCATACTCTCGTTTGACTAAAATACGACGCATTATTTTCCAAAAAACATCGAAAATTTCAGATCCCGGTAGGTTTTTGCGAAATAATAGACAAAGATGTAAAATAGAAGATGATAGAGTGTTTGTTGCATAACAAAAGGATAGTATTTGTACCAAAACACATATCAAAGATCATCCGCCTCAAATTAGTGGGCTCTTTGGCGAAGGACCAAGCCCAGAAACTCCTCCGAAAACTGATACGATCTCCTCCGGCTCTTGTCATCGTCGCCTTTCCCTTACAAGACCTCAAATACCGAGGGCCCGATTCCGCAGCCCGATAGCCCAGACAAAGAAGAAGAGAGTGCGCCGCACTTTCATCGCTGCAGTCTTCGCCGAACTGTCACTCAAAGCGCGGAGGTTCGTTGATGAAAATCGCTGATAAATGCGCAGCGAGTACGGGGACCAAACTGCAAATAAGTCGGAGAGGCGGAGAGACACCTGTACTAGCATAAAAACGAAATGGAAGAAACTAGACAAATCACCCATCGGAATGCGATGACAAATAGCGTGGCGATCAAGCAACGTTATGAAATGAGGGTTAAAACGGGTGGAGGCAAGGTTGCGCAACAAACTCGGACAAGTTTTCTGATGCAAATCACCTAAAGAACCCGTAAATGACTATCCTTTAAACGACCTCAACACCCTGTGAACAACCTCATAGACAAAACAGTGACCTCAGAAATCAGGTTACATATCCCAACTTTGACCCACAACCCAAAATAGCATCTTCTCCCAGCGCTGATGTAAAAATCAATGTCCCCAATAATCGACGAAAAGAACGCCGGCGGTTCACGCGTTCCACTCTCTCGCTCTGCCCGAGAATTAGGTTAACCCCCGGGGCAGCGACGTTGTTCTCCATCGCGCGAAGGAGTTTTTGGCGTAACCCAGAATGCAATGGCGACTACCGGAAGAAGACCGATTGAAGGTGAAGGTGAAGACGACGATATCTTCCCTCCACAACACTCTCCTCGCTGGACATGACGAAGCGCGACGATCGCCCTGTGTCTTATGACCTTCGCTTCCAGAAAATTGAATGCGCGACTGGCTCCCTTTCGTGGTCAGCGACCTTTCCCATGCCAACTCGGCTCTCCCGCGCGCCCTCAGGCAGTTCGTCTTGACTTTTATAGTTTTGTAAAGCAAACCGAAAAGTAATGAATTGAAAAATCTCGCTGAGAATTACATTTTCCAAACCGATTTGCGCAATTTTTCGCCACATCATAAATCTTGGGTTAAAAAATATCGAAATTCTTTTATAACACAAACATGATGAAAAAAATTCTGGATTCGTTTTTTTAACTAAGTCATCCTGAAATCCATGTGCCTATACAAACAAGGTTACATTTTAAAATAGCCTTTAATTGACCCCATATCGCTTGAAATGCCCTTAGCCGGAGTGACCTATCTTTAGCGGGCGGGGTGGGGGGAAGCGATGAAGTTACACCTCCCCAGACAACGAGAAAAAAAAGTCCATTGGCGCTTAAGGTCATCAGCGCCGAGCAGTGTTAGGGCCAATCAATCAAGGCGCGCACTCTGAGCACCACGTAAAAAGGCAACATGGAAGACAATTGCCTTTGCCGGGCGGCAAGTGTAAAAAACTTGGCGATGGACCAAAGATGACGAGGAAAAGAAGAACGGCCCGGAACGGTCAAAGGAAGAGTCGCTGTAAGCGGAGGAAACGGCGCGACACCGTCTCCCCGTCTCGCTTATGATGCCTTCTTGACGAGCAGGGGAAAAGGACCCCCTAAATGACCCATCCATCTATCGGTTCATTGCCATCAAACCGTTTCGGCGTGAATTTCGCGCAGAGGACCTTAAGCGCCGACCCCCGACCATTCAAGGTAGACATCCATAAAGTTTCGGCGAGAGGGCAAGGAGGGAAAGGAGGGCGAGAGGAGAAACATTCTCGAGGAACAAAGTTGAGGGAAATAAAGGAGAATTAAAAGACCGGCTTTTGTACTTCTGTACGCATCCTTTGGTAAGACCGGATTTTCGGAAAGTTATAGGGCCAAAAGAACGGTAATAACGTTGGAGATTCAATTTTAAATTGACTACATTCTCATCCCTTATAAAGCCTACAAACGAAGATGCGCTAAGAAGATACGAAGACTCTGTAAAACCAGATACCGTATAGACAACTTCCTCCCTGTTGTAGAACGAAACCGGAACCTTAACTGATCCAGAAAGCCGCTTCTTCTTCAGAAACCCTAGGGGCAAAAGGGTCGGCAATATTAAAGACGATTCAAACTTTGAAATGGATCCACAGTCAAGTGAACAACACCCATTCAAGTGGTCGTGTTCAAGAGGCAAATTATCCGAACCCAGACGCGTCTACCAAACAAGGAGTGACGATGCAAGGGACCCGGCCTTGATTGCAATAAATCATCATGTCTTTCGAAAGTTTCAACCCGAGATCGAGATCTAATCAGAAGGCCGTAAAAGGCCCCACCCATCCATTTCACCTGACCTATTCCCCTGACCTTTTCAGATCAGGTTTAAAACAAAAAAGGAGAAAGAAGCAATTCATCTTGATCCCAATCTCTGAAGTCGCGGCGTTCGCCCACCCCGACCTAATTAATCGGCCGGTAGGCGCAGATAAGCTGCGCCGACCGGCTCAAACACCCCCAAAATGAGGAGGATCGGGCTTTCGGTGCATGCTGTAAAGTGACCTAATGTCTAGCATTAGTCATATTCCACTCTGCAAATGATAGTTTCGGTCTAAATGATCTAAAAAGGTCTATAAATAGCTGGGCTCCAAGTTTTTAGTTTACGATCAAAGTTGCTGCAACTTTTATGGCGTCCGGAATTGCCTCCTTACGACCTTGAGATGGACAACAAAATCACGGTACTTGCTTGTCGGATAGGAATACGATAAAAACCATAAGGGAACGGCAAAATACGGATCCGAAAATGATGACATTTGATGCAAAGTCTAGACTCTTAAGTGGAGATTTCGCGCAGCTTTAGTGGATTTCGTTAGGAAAGTCATGTGATAACAGAAAAGTTGTTATTGAAGAATGTGTCAAGTCAGCTTTAACGGCACAATTTATCAGAAGAAGTTGGAAACATTTAGGAAAAAGTCGGAAAAATGTTTAGCTCTAAATGGCCTAAAAGTACAGTACCCCCGGTCCATTAAGACCATCACTAAAGCGCCACAAGGAGTAAAGAACAAGTGGCCAAAGAATGGTGGATCTTCGGGCCCTGCGGCCTAGCATGCCCGCCCACTTTTCGTCGGACTTACAGTTGAATTCGAGACACGTTCCCAGCCAGAAGATAACCCGGATGATAATTCTTCCGACTGCCGGTCGCTCTCCATCACCGGTTGTTTAAAAAAGGTGCTGGATGGGGATGAAGGAGAAGATGTTGGTTGCGGATCCGCGTCTCTCTAATCTCTCAGGTAGGCGGCGTTGAAAGCGGCGGCCAAGACGATTCGTGGAAGGCTTGGAAGATGGCCGCTGAAAATATGGGCCGATGAAAGATTGCAGGAGGGCAATCGAAAAGATAACGCGTAAAAATTTCGTCTAGATTCCGTCGGACGAAAGGATTTGTAATCAAATGGTGCCTAAGGGCCAAAAGTTTACAAAACAAAAATTTAAGAAAATATGAAAGGATTTTTGGCAAATGATCACACGTAATCGTGATGTAAAGATTTATTGATGTAGGGAAATGAGATTTATATGGGATCAATTGGTAATTAGTGGTATAAAAACGAAAGATGAGGTAATAAAGTATGAGATTTCATCAAGATATAGGGATCGTAAATTAAAATAAGACGTGATCTTGATGTTACAATAGCAAAGGCAATTTTTGCGTCAAGCAATGAAAGAAGCTTTATAAATTTGGAAAAATAGGCAACTGCAGTAAAGTTCATCATGTTTTATTTCTGCAAGTAATCAAAATTCGCCTGTTCTCACATTGATTTTTGATGTTTTATAAAGAGAGCCTTATATGTTAAAATAACCCTTCAAGGACCTTAGACCCTATTTACTATCTCACATGCCCGCTCATTCTTACAAACACAGGACAACCTTTCTCACAAAGTTCATCTCCAAACCCTGTACCTCCAATCCTCGTAACCTCACGTAACAAACGTTCAGCCCTCCAAAACTGTGCATTTAAAGAAAAAATGCTGCAAAACCGGCCCCTCCGACGATCTTGATATGGCCCTTCTCGAATCACCGTCCCTTCACATGAACCCTCTTTCAATCGCCATTGTGAAAATGAACGAAAACTTTTTTTTTGTGATGAAAAATGATAATGAAAAGTCGAAGGATCAGAGCGAAAATAATTACTGTTCCCCCAAATGCAGGGAAGGGGCTGACCCTTGGGTTTTGAAGCTTTCCGTTTTCGGAGTTTCTGCCCCAAAGGCAAAGAATAGCTGGAAGGATGAAACTTCGGAAGACCGGAACAACTTATGACAACAACCGACATGTCTGATGAAGCAAAAATGTTTGAATTATGGTTGAGTCGGGATTGTGAAAGCGCTGGAATTGGATTCCCATTCCGATTTTAATATCTTGGAATCTGGAAGATGGGATTCTTCGATTAGGAAGGAGACTTTGGATCAACTTGAAATAGTCGATTTTAAAGATCAAGAGATTTCAAAGGACAAATCCTGAATTACTTACAGAAAGTTTTAAAATTCAATGTTTTGGAGCTGCAAAGCTTAGGAAGTTAAAATTAAGAAAGGTTTAGGTGATGTGAGTACTCAGAAAAAAGATAAATCGCGTAAGATTGAGGTCATCGAAACAGAAATCTAAAAGGTCTTGGAAAGAGGAAGTGCCCAAAATGTATCCGCTTCAAATTGTCGTAAATTAAAATGAAAAATTTTTAAGACCTATGTAATTTTTAGCTGGCGCTTTGCAACAAAAATCCAAATTTTTAGCCCAAAAAATATCTTAATTTTAAGCATGGTTAAGCATAGTTTTATTGAGCCTGAGATACTGTACCACAGAAAAAGAAAAAAGTTTTTCCAAAACGAAGATCCGTGAGCTCCTTTTGGATGTTACATAGGTGAAAGAACATGTAAAATACCTCAAAATACATAGGTCATAAACTATCTGGAAATCCAATCTATCTCATTATTTCCCTTGTCGCACTTGAAATTGATGTGCTGAAAATCCTAGTAATTGAAACGTATACCACTGCGATTAGGTAAAATAAATTTGAGGAGAATCCGATTTTTGAAAAACATTCGTTTTAGCAAAATACTAGCCCACGTTCCCTTCTCGTTTCCGTCCTCCCAAAAAAAGACTTCCAAAGTCGCCATAAGCTTTCCAAATCCCTTCAGCAAAGGGAATGCCCGTCGCCGGAAGGCATATGTTTTGTACGGAGAGGACCGTGCGCAACACCTCCCCCATTCCCGTCGCTTTTCTGTAAAACTTTTTTTCGGGCGCAAATTGAATCGCGGCTCTGAGGCCCCCCTTTTCTTTCCCGTGTCGCCTTCAACCGCAAAATGTGCCGGACAAGGTCATCGCGCCATCCGGGTGCCAGTGCACCATCGCGTTGCCTTCGTCCACTGCCAACCGGCTGACCCAGATTCCGGCGGCGCGCTGACCGAGAAGACGTTCCCGTCACGCGTTGCCAGTGGAATCTTTTGGGGGAAGAAGCGGAAAAAGGACAGTTGTCTTTTGTGCGGATGATGATTTGATTAGTGATTAACCGCGTTTCCCCGGGAATGGCGACTTTTGGAAGGTGGACAGAGATAGGGCAAATTGGAAACAAAAGTTGGGGAATGGTTATCAGGATTACAAAAAAATGGGTGTAAAAGGGCACGAACTGAAAATGTGGACAATAAATCGATGATTTTTACAACTTATTAAACTCCGATTGCGCAATAACTTTTGCGGGTTCTCTGGAACACCTAAGGGCAAATAGAAATGTTCGTCAAAAAATCACAGCGCCGAAAAAAATTTAAAATTTTTTCGAAAAATTCCAAACCAATTGAAGACCTGTAAACTACAGAAAAACAAAATACAAGTTGCGTTTTACAGGGGCTAAGCGGTCGACGGGATAGCTGGAAACGCCGGAATTAGCCAACAAGTCTCAAGAAAACACTAAATTCGCCAAATTCCGCCATCTTTCCCACCCATTTTAGCCGACAAAATGACCATCAATGGACTCCATCGTTCAGCATTCTCGGTCCCAAAATGATTTCGGAAAAGTCATCGATCTTTGTCGCCAGTTTTCGTCAACTCGTTTTTTACGAAAACATATTTTAAACCAAGCGAATCAACAGTAAATTGTGTCACATGTTTGAGTAAAAAAACAATATTTTTTAGTAAAGTAAGAGGGGCAATGAGCGAAATTTGTGGAAATTTGACAAAATTGTATGTAAAAAATTCCAAGGCACGGCAGATTTTTTACTTCAAAACGAGATTTTAGGGTCAAAGAGTGCAGAAAAGTCATCATTTTTTCCAAACCTTTTGAATATTTCGATTTTACTTTGATAGCATGAGCAAAAGTTTTTCAGCAATTAATCTACGAGCTGCAGGGGCTAGCTATGAAAAATTCCAAGCAATTTAATAGAGAACCCCCAAGGTTAAGACCCAAAATTCCCGGACCGGAAGTTATAAAGTTAATAAAGTCTGCAAAAAAGACAAATGTACCCAACTTTTGTCAGGTTTACAAAAATTTTTGTAATCCTCGCCAGCATTAAATTGGGTGAATTGAAACGGCCACTTTTGACGTTCCGAATTGCGCAACTCGGGCGGGCGTCCGGGAGATGGATCGCGCAGAGGAAAAAAACGGAAATTTGGAACAGAAAGCAGAAAAAAGAAGGGCATAAAGGGTCAAAAGGTGGGGTGGGGGATTTAAAAGTCATCATGAAGAAGAGTATGATATGATCCCTCGAATTGAACACCAATTATGGACATATTATAGCACTGGAGGCGTTTTGAGGACAAAAGAAGACTAAACAGCGGACGGAAAATAAAAACTGGACAAACAAGTTTTGGAAAATGGGCTTCAAAGTACTACACATAAAACGATCTTTTTCTAAAATTGTGTTTAGAATTGCTGTATTTAGAATTGCAAAAATGACAAGACCCAAAAGTCTACAGTCGTCGTTTGATTTACTAAAAACGTCTATGATGACATCCCCCGAAAGTTTTAACAATTGACCCAGTTAAGATTTCTTGTTTGGTTTAAAGTCTCCTTGACCCCGTAAACCCTGCAAACAGCGTGATGAGCAAGGTACATCCACTCAAATCAAGGTGAAAATAGGCAAAATCCAAGAAACTCCACCCAATTTTTTTCCAAGCAATTTTTTTTGGCAAAGCTTAATTCTGATGACTGAAATTACGATCTCTAAACGCAAAATTGACAAAAAAGTGCAAAAATCGGCCGCTTCCGTTGCGGTAGATTCGCATCGAAATGGTCGTATCTCGCGCCGATTTCCTCCCATTTTTGGTCGTTTTTCGGTTGCCTTTGCGGGAGTGCTGGTTGGAGGGGGGACGGAGGTGGAGTCGTGAAGGTCAACGCTCTCTGCCCTCTCTCCCTGCCTGAATTCTCATCACACACGGAGATTAAACTGGTTATTTATTATTTCGCCCGCAATGTATTCGATATATCCCCGGCAGATCGCCGTCTTCTCCCATGACTTTCCGCTGATCTTATCGCCGCGTTCTCTCGACCAATTAAGCCGAGGCGGCGGTCAAGGTGTTTGAACAAAAACGGGTGCATCTAGATGGGTAGCGGTGATTCTGAGACGTCTTTATCTCCCTCAGCGAGAGCAAGGCCGACAAAAATAAAGGCCAAGGAAAATATAAAATTATACAAATTATTGTAACATAATTTACAATCATAGAAAACCCCTTAAAACTCCAGAAAACAGCTTCAAACTTCCCAAAAATGCTTCAAAACTCAATAAACCCTTTGGAATTTGAGAAACTCCGGTAATTAACCTCAATAAACTCCCTTGAAAAACAACAAAACGGTCTGCAAACCCCACCCCAGGACCCTTGGAACGAGGCTATAATTCAAAACAAATCTTTAATCCCTTGTTTTCCGAGGTCTTAAGAACCGATTTGGGATTTGAGTTTCGATGCAGGTAATGCCGCTGAATCACAGGTTCCTTGCATAAAGACTGGTGTGAAGTTTGTCAAAAGGAGGTGAGAGGGCGAAAGATTGGTTTCACGGTCGGTTGAGTGGGCCTCCAAGACCCGGGAAAACATCGAGCTGGAATGGGATTTTTTATGGAACACGGCGGTTACGCAAGGTTTTGGGTTGCGTCAGTTTGGCTGTTCTTGGTCATTTGTGGTATAATATTTCCGTTCCGTTTAAACTGATAGTTCCGCGTAGCATTTCCGTTCCATTTTTCCCCCACAGAAACTCCCAAAGCATAGAATATTTGATAGTTATCTTTATTAAACTAGATCTATTTTTACTAAAATAAGTGAAAATACTCTTGGAAATTGGAATTAGGCGGACAATTTTCGGATCATATATTGAAGAATGCCTCCGTTACGAACGTAGGTTAGCTCGACCTCGGTATCAACGCGGAATTTGGCTTCAAAATCATTGCCTCCGTCCACTTGGACTTTGATCTTCTCGCCTGGTTTTACATTGGCTGGGATGTTAATTGTAAACTTTTCTTTGCCCGTTAATCCAAGAGAATCGGCGTTTTGGCCCTCGAGGAATTGTAGAGGTATAATACCCATTCCCACCAAGTTTGAGCGATGAATTCTTTCGAAGGATTCGGCGATGACAGCTCGGACTCCTTGGAGAAGCGGACCTTTGGCGGCCCAGTCCCTGGATGAGCCGCTTCCGTACTCTCTGCCGGCCAGGATAATAATTGGAAGGTCTGAAATTCAAAAGACATCACAATTTTCAAAAAAAACTATCAAAATACATCGGAAACCCCAAAAAATTATTATATTATCAAAGTCAACCTATTCACTCACTTTGTTCCTTATATTTCATAGCGGCATCAAACACATCCAAAACCTGTCCGGATGGAATGTGTAGAGTCTGAGGGCCAACTTTAGTCACCAACTTGTTAACCAATCGTATGTTGGCGAATGTGCCTCGGGCCATGACTTCATCATGGCCTCTTCTAGCTCCGTAAGTATTGAAATCCCTGGGCTGAGTCCCTCTGGAGGCAAGATACTTGGCCGCAGGGCTTACTCTGCTAATTGAACCAGCCGGGGAAATATGATCGGTGGTTACGGAGTCTCCCAGATTCAATAGAGCATACGCATCTTTGATGGGGGTTTCTGGGGGCAGCTCGTTGGTCTGAAAAGAAATTTCATGTAACAATAAAGGCCTTTGCCAAAATTTTATGATTCCATAGTATCTTTATAAATTCTTCTTCTACTTCCAATCAAATCCCCGCAAAATCTTACCATTCCGTCGAAGAATGGGACTTTTTTGATGTAAGTTGAGTTCTGATCCCATGAATAAAGTGAGCTCTCTGCGCAGGTCAACGCTTGCCATTGTTCGCTGCCCTTTTGGATATTAGCGTAGACTTCCTTGAAGAATTGGGGCTTCACATAATTCTCCTCAAAGCTCGCGACTTCCTCATGAGTTGGCCATATATCTCTGAGGTACACCGGGCCTTCCGTTCCTTGTCCGATGGGTTCGTTTTCAAAATCAATGTTCACAGTTCCAGCCAGCCCGTAGGCTACAACCAGTGGGGGACTGGCCAAGTAGTTGGCACGGACATTTGGATGAATTCTTCCTTCAAAATTCCTATTTCCAGACAAGACACCTGCTACAACAAGGTCATTTTCATCGATTGCCTGCGCCAGTTCGTCTTGTAAAGGGCCAGAATTGCCAATGCAGGTCATGCATCCATATCCAGCAATGTAATAGCCCAATTGCTCGAGGTAAGTCAACAATCCACTGTCTTGTAGATACTTGGTGACTACTCCACTTCCCGGACTGAGACTGGTCTTGACGTATCCTGGGACTTTCAACCCCTTTTTGACAGCATTTCTGGCCAAAAGACCGGCTCCAAGCATAACTGAAGGGTTACTGGTGTTGGTGCAAGACGTAATCGCACTGATCACAACTGATCCATGTTTAATGTCATAAGATTCCCCGTCCAACGCAACCTTCACAGACTTCGAGACAGCCTCAGGGGAGAGGCCGAAGCCTTTGAACGAGACTTTTTCGGTGAGTCCGGTCAAGAATTCTTGCTTTAGGGAGGTCAAAGGGACTCGATCATGAGGACGTTTGGGGCCGCTGAGGCAAGATTTGACTGTTGAAAGGTCCAATTCAATGACCTAAAATTCAATCAGACCATTACTATTACATCATCCATAACTTCCAATGCAAAATCTAGCAAATTTTACCTGAGTGTAATTGGGGCTAAAACTGTCATCCTCAAAGTCAACATAAAGCCCATTTCTCTTCAAATATTCCACCATTACTTCCAATTTTTGGGGATCGCGACCAGTCTGGCTCAAATATTGTATTGTTCGCTTATCAACCGGGAAGAATCCAACAGTTGCTCCGTATTCTGGACACATATTGGCGACTGTAGCTCGATCAGCGATGCTCAACGAGGTAACTCCAGAGCCGAAGAACTCGACAAATTTGCCGACAACACCGAGCTTGCGGAGATTCTGAAACAGAATTGACACTAACATCAAAAAATCCGAGTTGAAAACCAAAAATAAGGCCAAATTTATATTATACTTGAGAAAAATGTAATTAAAATAAATTTTCAAACCATCAAACATGACTTACTTGTGTGATGGTCAACACCAAGTCAGTACTCGTTGCTTCGGGCGGCAAATGACCAATCAATCGATATCCAACGACCTCTGGAATCACCATGGAAATTGCCTGGCCAAGCATCACGGCTTCGGCTTCGATTCCACCAACTCCCCATCCCAGAACTCCGGAACCATCAATCATAGTCTAAAACATACGAATACTAACTTAATTCACACAAAACACAACCAGCAAAAAACCGGAAACATACGGAGATGTTTCAGGTCCAACACAATGCTCAAAACTCGACTTACAGTGTGAGAATCGGTTCCAACAACAGAATCGGGGTAGATTAGAGAATTGTCTTCATCGAAGAAGACGGTGTGACTCAGATATTCGAGGTTTACCTGATGAACAATTCCAGATCCGGGCGGGACAATTCTCAGATTGCGGAAAGCCTTGGCTCCCCATTTCAAAAAGTTAAATCTCTCCTTGTTACGCTCAAATTCAATGTCCTGGTTCTTCTTCAACGCTTCGAGACTAAAAAAAGACGATTTAAACAGAACAGAAAAGCTTATTTCGATATTACCCTAATTACTTACTTTCCATAATTATCGACTTGAACGGAATGGTCAATAACAAGATCCACCGGGCAAATTGGGTTGATAACCTCGGGATTTCCTCCTAGATCCTTCACGGCATCTCTCATAGCCGCCAAATCCACAACAGCAGGAACACCACTTAAAAATACAAATTTTAGGTATAAAGTATAAAATAATTGCCAATATCGCCTTAATCCCTATGAAAATTGAAACAAAATTGTGTCAAAAACTTACGTAAAGTCCTGGAGAAGCACTCTAGCCGGTCGGAACGGGATCTCGACGCCATTCTTTTGGCTGGACTCCCAGTTTAGGATTGTTTCCACATCCGATTTGTTGACGTGAAACCCATCGCAGCATCGCACAGCCGACTCCAGCAAGTACTTAATGGAAATAGGAAGCTTCTCTGAAAATATTATACATCATAGACCAATTTTCTCACAACTCTTTCCAAAGGTTGTTTTTTTAGATAAAAAAGGACGAAAACAGGTAAACAGGAGAGAAATAGCTGTACGCTTTGATCTTTAATCAAAACAGCACATGTTCCTTCACTTCCCCTGATAAAAAATTTATTTTTATTCTAATTTTTATTGATTTTTCGACGAAAAATCAAAAACTTGGCCAATAATTTACCATATCTGGAATCGTTGAGATCCTTGAGAGAAAAGTAGTTAAAATCCTTTCCTCCGACTTGAATTTTCCGTTTCACAGACTCGAAGCTCATTTCTAAATCAAGTACAATATAATTAATCAGGAAAAACGTGACGGTACGCGAAAAAGGAAGATCGAATATAGAAAAAGATAACTTAAGAAGGGCCTGTAGGAGGGGGCAAATATTTATTTCTCGATAAAGTTGAGAGAACACGCACAAAAAGACAAGGGAAACGATTCTTTGGTGTCCTTAATCAGTTAAGCAAGGTCGGTCAGTCCCGCCGTCGCTCGATTGCATACGATCTGGTCCATCCCTCGTCAACAAGATGTTCTTTGAACCCCGCGAACAGGCCGAGCACATCTTGATCGGGTTTGATGTCATAGCGCCTGTAATTAGTGGTTACATAATGTCTATATTACACATGGCTTTGAATCAGAAATAGCCTTGACATCGGGTTATATTTAAAAAATCTGAAAGATGCATCGCTGATAAGGGTACCCAAAATTGTAAATAAAAAAAGGGAAATACGTTCGGAATGGGCTGTATTTATCTGTATTTGCACTTACCATCGGGTCAGGCGATCTACACTGTCCAGTATCGCGTATTGCTGCCAGCGCTTCCCAAAGTTCAACATGTCTTTGCGGCCCGGGAGGTAATCGGGATTACCCACATTTACAAAGGTCAAATCTTGAAGAATAAGGCCACTGAAAAAATATTATATTACACTTGACGTAAAAATAAAACGTGCTATAAAATCGCTTACAAATACGGGATTAAAGGAGGTTTCGCATTATTCAGTTCACTGCGGTAGTTGGTGAAGGACTGTCGACTATCCATGATCTTGACCATCTCGGCAATCTGTTTTTTGAGACTCTTCGGCCAATCCAATCTTTTCACCGGACCAGAATCCAAAGCGCTGATGACTGCGAGATACGAATTAAAATTGTTTAGTCTTCTCAGAGCCTAAAACTATCAACACAAAACATTGGAACATACTTTAGCCACCTTCAAGAACTTTTCGAATCTTTTTTCCCGATCCTTTTGTGAATCCGGCTTCAGAATCTGTGCCCGAATCCAGAAGGAGAGATCATTGAAGTGCTTGGTAAGATCGAAAATGTTCTTGCAGTTCCGTGAGGACTGATTTGACGCCCACCATAAAATCTCGGACGTCTGAAATTATGGATAATATTATATGGTCCGGTATAACAAGTTATAATGACCAAACTCACCGAGATCTTGGACATCATTTCGCTGTCGAGATAAGTTAATTGTTTGGCTATATCAGCTGATTTGACTTTAAAGATATGTTTATATTTGGACTTTACATCATCTTGAACCGAAATATTACAAGAATCAAAGAGTGAACCCAGTTTCTTCGACAAAAACTTCCTGAAATAGCCGAATAACTAAATGCTCAATACAAACAAAATCCTACCTTAGGAGCCTTGCTGCATCGAAGAATCTCAGATTCAGAAGTTTAGATATGAATTGATTTATTTGAGTTACAAATTCAGGCTTGAATTCGGCGGTTCCGATCTGATTAAGGAGTCTGGCTAATACAGAGAACGTTTGTTTTGCGGCTTTGTGAGAATCAGCAGAATCCAAGGCATTCATGTACGAAAATCTGAAGAAAGAAGACATTACATTAGGCAAAAAATTATATTAAAACCTATAAAGATCGTCGGACATAATCCAAAATTGATACATTCACAATAAAAACCGCTAACTTTGTCCTTACCGATGCAACAAACGCTTTATCAACTCGGATGACTCGATAAATCCAGGGAAAGTGAAAAGAAACGCTTCTTGATATAGTAGTGAGCTCTTGGGATGAGTCGAATGAACAACTAGAGCATTGATGGGACCGGCATAGACCTATAATCAGCCCACATAAAAAAACGCAACAATATTTGTCAAACAAAAAATAGATATTACACTACCTCCTGGCCTTCTTTTTCTCGTAAAATTAGGTAATCCGAAGCATCATAGGCTTCAAGAACATCCACGTGCTCCGGAAGAGAATTCGGAAGTGGCTGTTTACCTGCCGTTTCATCATAAGCCCCCTCAACCGCGCAATCTCCTTCATACCACATCAATTGCATCAGATTCTTATGATCTGTCGTTCTCACTCCAGAAAGTCCAAATGAATAATGAATTTCTGTGTGTTTCTGTTCCTCGAAGCATCGGAGATTATCATTCAATTTAATGTACGATTCAAGAGCCACGGCTTTGAAATAGCCACCTTTCTGCTGATCATCTTCAATAGTCTAAAGTGAGATAATAATGCCGAGAAATTGGTTCATACCTTTACTGTGTGATGGGAAATTCGTTTGACTGGAAGGAGAATCTCGTATTCTTCTGTTTCATCGTTAATTTTGTTTTGGATAATCGAGTGTTCTTGGTAAAGACCACCACCATGCCGATCAACAAGTTTATCACCCTAAAAAGATCGAATTTTCATCCGGAAAATAAAAGTATTAATAAGCAAATAAAAGAGACTCATATACGCACATATACGCCAGAAGAAGCTCGTCAAAATCTATCATAATTTTCGCCTAAAAATAAGAAACAACCATTTTAAAATGGCCATTTTTTGGACAAATTTAAAAAATAAATCGCGCTGATTCAAATTCTGGAAGACCCTGTCAACATTTTGTTCGCAAAAAAAATTTCGGGACGGATACTCATAGTTTACCTCGAAATAATCAATTTGCTTTGCATTGAGGTCCATCGTATCCAACTTTCGACTTTGTTGGTCCAGCTTTATCCTTCCGTTGGTCTTCGCCTGTCGTTTGACTGCTCTAAACAAACATCGGGATGTATAGTAAGTTACTCACTGTAGAACAGCCTCATTGTGCTGTACAGTTTTCGTCTTTGTGTGGCAATCGTCTTCCATTTCGTTATCGATCATATCCATGCTATTGGGGATGGTGATCTCTTTGTCTTCTGTTTCATCCCCATCGAAGTCGACTTTCTCATTTTGTAAGCGTTTCATGATGTCCTCGGGGATACTGGAGCCACTAATCTTGATTGTCCTCTAGAATATGGAAGTTTTGTTTGATTTTGCGGGAATGTGTTCCTTTTGTTCAAGTATAATTTCAAATTTTAGCCAAATTTTTACCGTTGAACTTGTCCGACTTGAAGAAGACGTGCTAAACTTTTTGGTAGTCACTGTTCTTCCATCACTATGCCTTTCCACCTCATGTTCTGCTGTTTGCGATCCCTTTTTTTCCAATCGATGTTCATTGAGTTCGCTGACTTTTATCTCAGAGTCGTCGTCTTCGGAATCCGACGAGAATTCTGGCATCTCAGGCTCAAATCGTGGGACATTTCTGAGAGAATACCGTTGGAAATTGGGCTAATACTGTCTTACCGTAAGCTCAATTGTTTAACGAGATCATCTATACCCATCAGTTGATCGTTTGGATCGATCAGGTCTTCTTTCTCCTCAATGTCTTCGTCCGAAACCTGGGAATTGTTTATTGCGGACTTTAGGTTTTCTACTAGATCAGTACCCGTTTCAATATTTACAAAATTTTCGATTGTTTGGATGTCCATCCATTGAGCTAGCGACTTCAGTGCTTCCTAAATTATGAAACTCATATATTTTTTCATCATTTTCCTCCTATTACCACTAAATATTGAGAAACGAGGCATCACTTACAATGACGTCATCTCCAATCTTGCAATGCCGGTAGTTTGCGACAAATGTATCGACCAGTTGATTAGAAAGGTCGGGGAAAGCACCCACCTCATCCCTGTAGATCGCACCTTTAATCTTTATGAGCACAACTTCCAGCTCATTTGAGAGCGCCATTTCTCATTCTCAATATGCTGGCGGTGAGGAGTTTTGCGGTCAAAACCAGCCCGAAAATATCAATAAAATGTTAGCCTGCGGCCCGAAAACATCTGGAACGACTCGAGGTTAATGCGAGGACTTTGAGTGCGGCCCCCGAGGCCTGATCTTGCTGGGGATCCCTGCTGCAGTCGGAGCAAGAACTTTGCGCACTTTCAAGTCGTTTTTGTTTGACGGATCACGCGGATATTCCCCCTCTTCCAGAGAGGTCGCGGGCCATAAATTCCAAGTGATGACATCAAGTAAATGGGGAAAGGTTTATATATTATGAATTATATAATATTGCACATGATTAAGTACACGGAGAGGTGGTTGGGCTGGCCAATCGGTGGTCCGGAGGTTTATTAGGGGTCTAACGGCGGCTGGGAGCGGGTTCGTCCTCTTCGACCACCACTTCTTCTACGATCTCTTCCTCTGAAGATAATTTAATAGTTAATATAAAGGGCGTTTAGGTGTCTTCGTGAGGGATAAAGGTCATTATAGTTGTTAGTTAGCCGGAAATTCTCTTACCTGGAGCTGCAGTAGTAGTGGTGGTTTTCGGCCTTCTGACTTTGACGATTCTAGTCCTTTTGACTGGCGCAGCTGGCGTTGTTGGTGCTGCCGTCGTTGTGGTGGTGGTTGTGGTCGTCGTTGTCGTAGTGGTGGTAGTGCTAGTGGTTGTTGGAGGAACAGTGGTATCTTCGTCCACAACTTCTTCGACTAGTTCGTATTCTACTTCTTCTTTTTGCTCGGTGGCTGCTGGCTTGTCTTCCTTGGGCGCTGCCTGTGTTTCTCCAGATTTGGGCTTGATTTTGAGTGTCTCGGAGGCGGGTTTCTCCATAGGATCTTCTACTTTATCCTCAGAATCAGCAATTGGTTGCTTTGTGGTTGGCTCTGGGACCGGTTCGGGCTTTGACTCCGGCTTTTCTGGTTCTGGCTCGGCTTCTTTGGGTTCCTAAAGATGATGAATATTCTTTGCTGTATTTTAAATGTCATGGATACTATAATATTAGTGCTATTCGCTTTTCTGTCTTGTTTACCTGCGCTGGTTCTGGTTTGATTTGGACGCGGTTCAGCTCACGACGAGGAGCAGGCTCTCCCTTCAAATTGGCTTCGATCTCCGCCAACTCGAGGCGGTTCTGTTCGTTGAGCTCCTGTCGCGCGTTTCTGTCTGCAACATATTTCCGGATCTCATGTCTGAAGTCGACAATCTCGCCCGCACTCAGATCCATGGAGCTGTCCACGTCCACCTTCTCGAAGATGTGGCGCGTCACGGCGGGCTCGACCCGATATTTGTCTTCGATGATCGTCTCCAATTCATCAACACTGACCTGTTTATCGCGGTTCGTATCGAAATCCTGGAAAGTAGCAAAAACAATTAAAGGTTACGACCGCCGTAAGGCACACCTGATTTATAATCAGATGTAGTAAATTTATATTGGAAATTACTTACTCTGATATGGTCGTTGATGTACTTAATAGCACTCAATCTGACTAGTCGAACAAAATCGGCCAGCTCGACCTTGTCCAAATAGTTGCTACGATCCTGATCAGCGACATTGAAGAGTCCGAGCGTCTCTTTGGCATCCAGATCATCCTCTCGTCGAGTTTTTTCTTCGGCCTCGATTCCACTGACAACTCCATCTCCATTAGTGTCATATTCAGCAAAAAGAGCTTGTGCATTCTTAACCGCTCTGTTTCTGATGACAGAACGGAAGCCAGCAAATTCAACAGCATCTAATTCTCCATCCTCATTCTCGTCGGCTTGAGCAAAGAATGGTTCCAAAGTTCTTTCATCGAATCCGTAGTGATCAAAAGCGATTTTCTTGGCCTCATCGATGGTCAAGGATCCGCTGCGGTCGGTGTCGACTACTTTCAGCGCCTTTCTCGCAGTGTCTACAGAGCGCGCGCGGACGATTCTCTCAAAGTCAGCAAACTCGGGAGCGTTAAGTTCTCCATCGTTGTTGTCGTCGACACTTGCGAGCATCTCGACAACATCTCCACTGCCGATTCCTTCTTGTTCGAAAGCAATCATTTGAGCTTCCTTCAGATCAATATGGCCGTCCTCGTTGACATCAGCAGTCTGAAATGAAGTTTTAATTTTTGTTTTGAGGCTTTACCTTCATGATTTGCCTAGCCAAACGGATGCTCATCCCTCTGACTCTTCTACGGAGCTTGCTGAAAAGAACTGCGTCCATTTCGTCGTTGGTACTTGGCACAACCAACTTCCAGATTCTCTCGACATCTCTGTTGCTGATTCCGTACTCTTTCAGGATGTAGGCTTGGGCTTCGGAAAGACTCAAAAGACCGTTTCGATCGGTGTCAACATTCTAAAATAAGAGTTTTGCCAGATTTTTTTGAACATGCCTGTAGATATCGGAGAGCGGCGTTCTCTGATTTGGCCAAAACCAGTGGTCTAACATCACTGAATTCATTTCCGTTCAAATATCCGTCCTTATTTTTGTCAACTTGGTTGAATAAGGTCTCGACAACGCTAGACGATAGTCCGTGATGAACGAAAGCGGCATATTGAACTTCAGCCAGACTCAAGACACCATCACCATCAAGGTCGACGTTTTTGTCAACTGGTATCGATGGAGTAACTGGGGTCTCTGGAGCGGCAGAGGTCGTAGTTTGGAGCCCTTGAGGTTCTGGAGTGCCTTCTGGAGCTTGCTCTTTCTTTTGTTCAGCGGGCTCTTGCAATGGTTGAGCTGGCTTGGGCAAGAATTGACGGGGAGGTGGCTGTTGCGGTTGTTGTTGTTGTGGGACGAATTGCGAAGGGACAAATTGAGCTGGAGCTGCGGGAGCAAATCCAGCTTGGGCAAAATGACCGGTGGGGATAAAGTTGTTTGATGGAGGACCAGATTGGAAGGGAATGAATTGACCTTGAGGCTGTGGCTGGATGGGAACCTGAGGCTGAATTTGAGGTGGGATTTGAGGACGGAATGACTGAGGCTGAGGGTTTGAGATCGGTTGGCTTGGCCGGAAATTGGGTGGGAGTTGAGGGGGACCTCGGAAATTGCGGTCTTGTCGCTTGAATCTATAGGCCTGGACGGCTCCAGCCATTAGGAGTATTGTCAAGCAGAGCCGTGACGTCATGGCCTAAAATTGGAGATGTAATAAGTCATCCATTAAATCAAGTAAAAGCTTGTTTTGAAATACAAAACATCACGAAATGAAAGGAAAACTAGAAAGCGAACAGTTCTTCCTGGCTAATTACTGTACTTCGGTGATAAAACGAAAGCAGAACGATGTCGGATGAAGGAAGTTGATTACATGAATGATGAGAATGCGGTCGGTGAAGACTCGACGAAGACATTCCTCATCTCAACGGGTTCCTCTTACGCAAAAAATTAGCACATGAAGTCTTCGTTCTTCGGTTTTTTCGCACCTCGCAAAGCGAAAAACGAGGGTTTCTGGCATAGTGGATAAAGCGGGGAGCGGGGTGAGATCAATTAAACAAGTCGGATTTAATTATATACAAGTTCTGAACGGGTACAGCAAAATGGGTGGAGGGGAAGTGCGATAATAGTGATTGAGGTGATAAACAAGCTGGGATTCGGGGGGATTTTGCTGTAATTGAGGGAATTGCACTTAAAATGGGGTTGTTTTAAGTGACGTTTGAGTTAAAAAAGATGATAGGATACTAATAACGTTTTTTTGAGATTGAAAAGAATAACATTCCAAAGAATAAGAATGACACAAATCCTTATCCATCAACAACATATAAAAAACTGATTATGAAGCGCCGCTGCAAAGACGAAACTGTTTTTGTTGGGATCCCTGGATCGAAACAATTGTGTCAAAGTCAAACATGACCTAGTCGGGAAAAGATACCTTCTTCTTCGTCTTCTTCCCACTGCTTATCATCGCCGCTTGCGCCCTTTTTTAATAACGCCCCGCAGGCGGTTTTTCCACGGCACGCCAGGAATTCCTGAACCGACCCAGAAAGGGATATGCCTCTCAGGGATTAGATTTTTATTATCCGAAAACTGCGTGAAATACAATGACGAATGGAGAGAGTGCAGAGAAAATCGGGGTTAACTGACATTGAGTAAATGGTTTTACAGATGAGCAGCTTATTTATAGCGGGATTTGAAGCTGGATTTTGAGGAAGATTGGATTAGACTTCCGACCAGTCGATTCTGGATGGCTTTAGTGGATACAATCTCTGGTCTCACCGGGGAATTTCTCGGATAGTTCGAGGTAATGAACCTGGAAGAAACTTTGGGGAGTGGAGCCTTTGCTGATGTAGGAATCCGGGATGGGAAGGCTGAATTTGCGCTTGCAGGGCTAAAAATTGAATTTAGAATATTGCGACATCCGATAAAGTTACTTTGCCAAGTAAAACAGTGTGGTAAGGATTCACTAATTTAGAAACTTACCAACTGATTGTTACAATCATGGTAAATGTTGAGTTTGGGATCGATATTAGTAATCTCCTTGGTGCTCCCGCTAATCCTGAAGAATCCATTTTGATCCGACTTCCCCGAGGCGAGCAAATCATCCCTGTCGATTCCCGTATCCGCATCGAACAGCTTCACCAACACATTGGCCGCTCTTTGGCCATGGCATAACAGCACTCCCTGCGCACCAGCGCTCTGGGTACGGCCGATAATACCCGAATCTACCGCGCCAAACAGCAGAATCACAAGGAACGCCGGCTTGAGCATGACTCACGAACAAATAAGATTAAAAGCGGACAAGAGATCGGAATTTAACAGTTGTTTTGGCTTTTATTTTCTGTGATCTGAATCTTTCGCTGCCACGAAATCAGTTTTTTCAACTCTTTTGTGGTGCAGGCGGTCAGGAAACAGAGATTCTGCCGATAAATGTGACTACAATAGGCGAAGAAGAAGATATTCAGTTGGAGGTAGAGCAGTTGGAAGATGTTGATGATCACCTCAATACTACCATACCAAATGGTCTCCGAGAGCTGAAAAAAGTCATGTCTGGAGATTGATTGGAGACTTACTTCCGGGGTGTAAAAGTAATCGGCCAAAGCGTAGGGCCAATTGCAGGCTATGTAGGAAAATGTGAGAAATATACAGATATTGGCGGTTGTCTGAAAACGAAAATTTAACAGTTCTAATGGTGAGAAAATTTGAGTTTTTTACCCTATGGTGCTTGGTCCATTCATTCATCGAGCCTTCAGCCAGTCGAAGCTCCATTGAATGTTGATAATCAAGCTCTTTTAGCTTGGTGATGATACTGACGCTGAGTAAAATCATTACAACTCCAGAGACAAAGTACTGAATCAAGGCCGAAATTGTCTTGATTACGTTGTACCATAAAGTCGAAGTCACCTAAAAAGTAAAACGAAATTTAAGTCCGATTTTGTGTTTCGAAATTATACATTTAAATTGCATTTTTTCGAAACCGAGGTCTTTGAATTTCAAAATAATCTCTTTGACTTACAACCTCATTTTCGACGAACCCATCACCTCCTTCCACCTTGTTGTATATCAGCCATTTAAAGCAAACAATCGCGGCGACAACACAACAAACAGAAGTAATCAAGATTCTCGCCCGCAGCTTTGAGAAGCACAATTTGTAATACAACGGATTATTCAAGGCGACATATCGATCCAAACACAAGGCCACAACGATAAATCCATATGTTGCAATTAAGGCATTCACCAAGAACAGCCAAATGTAGGCGCGAAAGAACGCCAAAATACTGTTCAATCTCACAGCACACAGGTCAATAATACATCCGAATATAAGAAAAGCCATCGTGAGGACACTGATGAAGGCCTGGATTAGCATCAAGAAGAATCCCTTATGCTTTTGAGCATATCGAATATAAATAAGAAGCGTCAAATGAACGGTGCTCAAAAATAGCCCCAGGCATGACAAGAACAGGTCAATGTATTGTCGATGGAAATAGGTGTCGTAATTCTCACCGCAAACCCCATCGTCCGAATAATCCACAGCCATGCGAAAGTTGGCGCATTCGGAATTAAGAATCGAATCCCAAAGTTTTGTTTGTCCTCAATAACATGGGTGTGGTGATCGTCGACGCAGAGGAAACCCGTTATTCTTATGGTATTTGGGATTGATTCATATTTAAATTGAGTTCGGAATCCCTTCATCGTTATTATTCATGTCACACGATGGGACTTTAATTCGATTTTTATTGAATTAGCAGAAGGGGTTGTCAGAGCGGATGGGCGTGCAAATTTCTCGGCTTATTGTTCAAGAAATTCGAGCTATATTAGGAAATTTGTAAATCTTTTGAAATGAGATGATATAAAAAAAAATGATTACATATAATTTAGAGTCTAAACAAAAAGAAATATTTGAACGGGTACTCTGAGACTCATCAAATTCTTCTCTCCTTATTATGGAAGGTATGCAAAGACGATGATAGGAAAACCGGGATTGGTAAAAGCTTTCATAATTAAGCCCACCCCTGATAGATTCTACTACTATTTATTTACCGTTTCCAAAGCTCACAAATGCCGTTATAAGGTCTCTTGTTTCCCATATTACACAAAAACAATTGAGGATTCCGTTGTTTTTTTTTCTCCAACAATACATAACGTCGGAATAGCGCTATCTCTTCCCTCGATCTTCAGTTTTTCTTTAGAAGCTATGATTCGAAAATTTTTAGCGAGATAGTTTTGGTTCGTAAAATTTTTTTAAACCCTCGGCTCTGCATAAGATGTTTATGCCTCGTTTTATTAATTTTAAGCTCTAGAAATTTGCAGAATAATATTCCGAAAGTGCAAAAATTACTTTGTTTTTCGGATTTCTCTGGAATAAGTCTTCTTCGCAATTCGATTGAGAATCTTTTTTGTGAGAAAAAACAGTCTCAAATTCGAGAATCTTTGTGTTTTCATAATAAAATTTTTTTTAATTTTCGCGAGGGAAATGTATTGTATTTCCCAATACATTTCCCTGTAACTTCCAAACTGTGGGGCTTCAGAACTCGCGCAGTCATTTTTTGTTCGGAATGTCCTCCAACCGGCGCTGTCTAACCTTTTTTAAGGGCTGTTGTGTGATCGCGTCGCCGTTGGAAGGGGAACTCTTCCCCCTAACCCCCGTCGTCTTTATTTTCCGAGCGCACCTTTTATTATTTGCGTCTTCCAGGGCCGGGTTTTCATGACCTGAACTCATGCTGAAGCAATGGCTCAATCTGCATAATCAACGTTCCGTCTTTGCCCTGATTCTGGGCGTTTGCCTCGGGCTGTTTTTGGGGACCTTTTTGAGTGTGGATGAGCAGAGGGATGTGGATCAATATATCGCTTTAAATTCGTTGAAAACTACGGACAATTTGCGCAATATTTATGTAAAATGTGTGGTCATTGTGCAACCCTCCAATCCGAAGCCGCACAAATTTGTGGGCTCGATTATTGAGACGTATGGCGCCAGATGTAATCGGACCATCATCTTTAGCAACAGCAATAAACTTCAACGTCAACTTGGAGGTAGGAAGAGTGACGTTACCCGCTTTATCATGGCCATAAACTTTTTAAATCATCTCGCAAAAACCATCGTCAAATATACATACATGTACATAGTAATCTTTCAGATTACGCCGACGTTTTTACAATCGACAGTTCCTATGGTTGGACATCATTTTCGATCTTCCATCGAGTCGCTGAATTCATTCACAAAGAAAAGACTACAGTAAAAGCTGATGCAATCGTGTGGACGGTCTTCTTAAACGAGCAGAATTACATTATCCCCGAGAATCTGAGATTAGTGGCCGCTGGGTACACCAAGGAACAAGCAGTTATCCTGGGGAAACTCCAAGATTATAGGTCAGCTGATTTTTTTACTGTAGATGTTAGAACTCATACTTTATATAACTAATGCATTTTCTGATTTTTCAGATCTCCCTTCTCATATTTCTTCCCCTTTTTCGATAATCACGGGTTTGCTTTGGATGCCGGCCTGGCCATGTCATCCAATGCCTTAGGGCTTGTTGCTGATTACAGTTGTAAGCCCGGTTGGTTGAGTCCCTTCTACTCCGGGAAAGGGCTTTTACAATGCGCCAAAACCAAAGGAATCTTGGTTGTGGATCCTGTTGATGAGGTAGGTCTATTAGCTCGTACATATATATTATACATACGTACAATAAAAGACATGGCAAGAATTCGGTATTAAATGTATTAATGTTACTATGTTTAAATCGCTTTTGTAGGAAGGATACCACTTGTTTGTCGAGGAAAATCTGCGGAATCTCTTTTCGACCGGTCAATTTACAAAGAAAGAAAAGTCGTTTGAGGTAATTTCTCGCAATTTTTTACTTCTTTATGACTGTAATTGGCATTGTATGAATACAGTGTTAAAAAAATTCGTGACTTTATTTTGGTTTCAGGACGCCGGAAGCAAAGCCAATTGCTGTAGCGATCGGTTAATTTCGGTGGGACGTGTGGCTCATCGTGATCTCCGGGTAATGGAATACTTTGCATATCATGTGAAAGTGGTTGGGTGAAAAAGATATTTATTATTTATATGTATAATAGTTTCAAATAAATTTTGAATTAAATAGAATCTCAGTTAGTAATACTCAGTACAGTCGCTATCTAGAATGATAAGTGAGGATGGACGTGTGTCTAAAAGTTCATGAGGAGAAGAAAGACGAGGATGCAGAAAAATGTACAGACATCTGAGGCGGCAGTTGAGATCTCCGCTTCGTATTGAGTTCTCCTTATACCATCCGGAATGAAGACTTCCGAGACCGTGGGCTTCGAAGTGATGGGTACTGGATCCGGCTCTTTGGTGGTCAAGGGCTCACAACCCAAGGGCTTAAAGTAGGCCAGGGCTTTGAAGGCTTCACTTCTATCACAGTAGTTCTCCGAAAGGATTACTTGATCCTGGAATTTCATAAATTTGAAAAACAAAGTCGACGGGGTCAATTACACTTCTATGTACTTTATCATCGATTTTAAACTCAATTTTCTCAAATCATAGTCAATTTAAAATTTTACACTTGTTGTTCCGCTTACCTTATGAAATTGGATCCATTGCATTTCGCAACTGCAATGTAGCGTATTCTCGCTGAACACCAATTTATGAGCAGTATGTAGCAGACATTCGGGTGAGCCCAGAGGTTCTCTGATCGTGGTGTAGCTGATCAACAGCACTCCCACATTCTCCATGCCCACGAATGCCCGAGGCGAAACCCGCCCGATATGACTTGTTTGGATTTGCAGACTTCCGACCGTAAAGAGGCCAGAGAATGTGTTCTCCTCCAACTTTCCGAGTCTGCATTCGCGGATTTGAATCTGCAAAATTTCTTACAGTCGAATTCTTAAATTTCCTGCAGAAATCTTGTTTCGAATCAAAATTCTCTCTTCAAAAACTGAGGAAGTCAAATATCCCGTCAAATCAAAACTTGATCGCTGCCCTCTGGCATTTTTTGAAAATAAATATCCCATCAAAATGCGGTCGCTGTCATGAAATCTTATCCCTCTTACCTGATTAACATGACTCAGCTGGTCGAAGATCCCATTGAACAGATTGAGCGTCGAATCCAAGATAGATAAACTGTGAACACGTGAGGTATTGGAAAAGGAATTCAGCGAGAGGACACAGGCCCCTTTCAGAGTGAAGAAATCGAGCCGGGAGATCGAGGAGAGACCATTCGGCTCCACCGTGTAGCAGCGGTCTTCAATGTAGAGTTCACGAAGATTGTGGGCATTTCTGAAGGAAATACGATGTAAACCGAGTATTACGGTTGAATTGAAATCTTCTCAGGTTTTATAAAAAATGAAAAAGCCTCACTTGAAAGCATAAGCATGAATTTTTTCGATTCCATTGTTTTTGAGCAAAATTCGAAGAGGATTCTGATTCCCTATGGAGGAGAAAGCGAAGCGATGGATCTCGCGGAGTTTGGGATTGCCAGCAATGTTCAGTAGCCTGAAAAAAATGTAAATGCCAACAGAAAAAAACAATTCCTTGGATTTTCAAACATTCAGTTTGCATAAATTTCAAAGTCTAAAAAAGTTCATAATTTCTTAATGTTTCGAATTAAAAGTCATCATAAATTCCACTAAAAATCTTGCATAAAACAAATTTTAATCATATTGATCGTAATGTTTGATCGTTTCTTCTCATTTTTCATCCCATTTTGCCTCTTTAAAATTGATTACTTTAATTTTTGCAGCCCTTTGAATGCGTATTTGTCGATCACATCCAGCTTATTGCAATTCTCAATCCGCAACTCCTCCAACGCCCCAAACTTGCGGAAGGAGTTCTTCTCGAGGGTGGTGATGGTACAATTGCGTAATGTAATCTTCTCGTAATGGGTTGGCCATTCCGCGGGGATTCGGTCCAGCTCCAGTTCAGAGCACTCAAGCTAAAAAACAAAGAGGGAATTTGGGGGGGAACCAAAAAACTTTTTCCTCCGATTTTTTATATTGGCTTAGTTATAAGTTGAAGAGGATATAAGACCTATTCCGGTTGGATTGAGACGGCTTTAGGCAGTTTTTGCGGCTAAAAGGTCGAGGGTTATGCGGGAAGAGGGCTAAAAAGTGACGTAAATTGGTCGAAATAGGGCCGAGATTTGAGAAATCAAGAAACGATGACTAAAAAACGTCGCATGATCATTTTACAAGTCAAAGAATACCCAAAACCTGAAAAAACGGCCAAAATCGGAGGAAGATTGGAAAACATGAACCCCAGAAAACTTACGGTCCTTCCCGCGCACTTGCACCCTTGCACACACTCGCCCGGTCTCTCCGTCGAATCCTCCTCGCCATTACACCATATAACTGTCAGCAGCCCGATGATCAAGCCCAAGTCCAATCTCATGCTAATGGGCCGCGGAAACGCCGCGAATTATGCATTTGTGCGAACACTGAAGTTACAACACAGCTGCTTTTCGTAAGTGAGCGGTAGAAGGTGTTGGGGGAGTTTGTTGGCAACAAAAAATAGCTGATTAATTATATTTTAGCGCCCGAAGGAAATAAATGACATTAGTTGGGGGAGAAAGGCGGGCCGGAGGAAATGGCTGACAGATTTTGAGATATTGATGCCAGAAAAGGTATACGTTACAATTATATTTTGGAAGGTCCAATTTAACAATTTGAAAAACCAAGCATATCGAATAAATGACAGAAACTGCCCATATACGGCTACTAACCACAGAAGAGACCTCATAATACACCTTAAGCTTCCTTTAGAAACCGTGATATTCAATTTACCATCAATTACAATGCTAATCGCCTTCCAAAATTATGATCTATAATGATCTCTCCAATCAAAAACAATTAGTACCCTTCTTTCATCCCGAGGCAGATTCGCTGTCAAAACTCGCGTTAAAAAGTAATTAGGGAGTATAAGAGCGGGCAGGGGTCAGCGGAAAGGTGATGACTTGTGGGGAGATGATTATGGATGGACCCTTGAGTGGCGCCCTAAGTTGACAAGTCTCTGATGCCCTCCGGGCCTGGGGCTTTAAGTGCAGGAGAGGAGGGGTGGATAAGGAGGAGTCAAAAACATGCCGACACGCGAAAACTTGCGGGCCCAGATCCACTCGTCTTGTATGTTATGTATATGATTTGGCTTTGATGGAAATTCGAGAAGACCTCGGGGCAAATGTCTTTAAGCGGAAAGTGGAAATATTCAAGGCCTCCGAGCACACCTGCTGCTCTTTTTATTCGGCCCAAACTTGGCCGTCTCTCGAAAACAGTTCGTTTCCAAAGACGGGAAGAAAACAGCCTTAAGGCATGGAATCGTCGGTACGAATAGGTTGAAATGGCCGAAAATCTGACCTTTTAGGGATTCGGAGCAAAATCGCTGACTAATCTAGCCAGTCTTTCGACTACAACAGGCCTTACTAACAAAGTAAGATGTATAGGACTTCTGTACAACGAAACCTGCCTCAACAACGAAAAATTTCAGTAGTCCTTTGCGATTTGTTGCGCAGGGCTTTCACTGTGTCCCATTTTTTTTAACTCTTAAGATTGCCTTTTTGGAAAATCTTGGCCATTAGGCGGCGGATGACTAAAACCCCCAAAAGCCGCTGAATTCCTCAAATCCGCGGTTCATTTGCATACGCAAACATCACAAATTGGGGCGTTAAAACGTCAAAAATATGCGGAAGGAAGGCCTGAATGCCCGTTTAATAGCTTATATCCTGTTTTAATGTTCGCCAAAAAACGACAAGACACCGAACATGGGTGGCCACAATAACATAAATTGTATGTAGAAAGATTATAGTTCTGGAAATTGTAGCCGTATCCTTCCAAATGCTGCGGAGAAAAGGCAATTTTTTGGCAAAGTTAATGGAGCTTGCCTAAGGTATCATAATATAATTTTTTGAGCATGGCCAAGATTTTTGCAAAATTTGGGACAAAATGAAGATAATAATAAAGGAAGGCGGGCTTATTCAGCGATTTCCAACCACCCACAAAAGGCTTTGAATCCTTTCTACATGACCGAATGCGGGAAAAGAGAAAAAAACATACGCTAAATCATGTTTTCAGGTGCAATTTGGCAAGATACGCTTGTAATTTGATGGAATTTGTTGTGTCACGGCTGTTGTAACAAGGTAGTCCCCGGTTTGATGTTAGAAAACCGATTTCACATCAACGCAAGCACGTTATTACCACCAACATATTATTCTCGAACATTACGAAAAAATGAACTCCAAGAATAAATCCAATAACTGTAGATGACACTTACCCATGCGTAACATATTTGGTATCAAACAAAATGGGGTTGTCTGAGGATTCAGGGAAAAAAGAATTTTAAGATTTGGCCAAAACTGAAGAAGTTATAGTCAATTCAAATCGGGCCACAAAGATGCCCCACCCTGTATATGAATTTTGATAAAAATCGATGCTATAGTATTACATGACTGCTGACTTCAAAAAAGGGCGTCACGACACTTGCGGGCAACCACTTTGCGGGCAAAATTTGGGGGGGTCACATTTGCGGGCAGCTGAAACATTTGCGGGCAGCTGAGACATTTGCGGGCAACCGGCACTTGAGGGTAACAGGGTGGAGGTGGAAAAATTACGGCGATATTTTGGAAATTTGCCGACATTTGCCCGCAAAGTGGCTGCCCGCAAAAAATTTGCCCGCAAACTGGTTGCCCGCAAAGTGGTTGCCCGCAAGTGTGCGCCCGCCCAAAAGAGCTCCAATTAAGACCATGGTTGATAATAATAACACACGATCTTGAATCGTCAATATCAGCCATTCTGTAAGTAGAGCCCACGACATGTAAATACAGAACATGGACTATTTCGTTTGAAGTAGGTGGACTACGGCCTTTATGGAAAGTTGTTGACTGTACTTGTGACACCGCGGATAACGGGTTCTTTTAATTTATTTTCAGTCTGTCATCCTAAGAAGGGTTCAGATCAACAAAATAAAGGCTGTAATAACATCAAATGTCAGTATATGTAAAACCGGTGAGTTTTTTCTTAACCTTGTTTACTCGCACACAAGCAAACGTTGCTTATTTTTTAGAGTGCAAACAATATTTTCGCTCCTCTTGGACGCCAGTTTCTTCTCTCATTTTGCCCATTCTCGATCGCTGCTGCGAATCGATATGGTCAAGATAATACGCGTTTCTTTTCTGTTTTCCATATTTTACTATGCAAGCGCACTTGACGGACGGTTCGAAAGCCCCTGGTGGTATGTTTCGTTGGATTCCTTGGCATATTGATGTTCAGGGAGCAGAAAAGTTGGGGTCCGACCACTACCGAGGGGCCGCCGCAGCCAGGAGTGCGGACCCGAAGCTTATCCGGAACATTTGCGTCCGACGGCAGAAAACAAACCAACGCCGATGTCATTCTGCTGATCACCGTCGGGTTGCGAGACGGATTTGCAATCAGAAGAGTGAAGGCATTCAATGATCGGGTTTACTTGGATCGATACAGAAGAAGTTATTGGCTGGGGACGAGATATTATGCCCAAGTAAGGGGAGCCCTGAGTTTTAAACGCCGCTTTTTCCAGGACAACTTGTATTATCTCGAGACCCGGGACACCTGCATTTACAACATGGATCCCGAAGAACGGAATGAAATTGAATACGAAGACGGGGAGCCTATTTCTCAAGTAGTTTTTCAGTATGTTTTAATTTTTTTTTAAATTTTTCTACAACATAATTCACAATATTTTTAGATGCCAACGGTACGCCCAATATTGCTGTGGCCTTGATTGTTGCCAGAATACTTTCAAGAGGCAAGCTGATCTGATCTATGGGAATTCACTGGAAGCTAAGAATGCCGTAATGAGTGTAACCTCGTCTGTGATAGTTCTCATGTTTTTGGCTTTAGTCTGCTTGTTTTGAGACCATTGTATATATTAAATAGCAGGGTTGACTGTAATAATAAAGCAAAATGAAAAACACGTCGAGGCAATTGTTAGGCTCGTGACAAATTTGTCTAAACTTTTTGAGTTTCCTCAAAATCTGGGCGTCGTATTTGGGTACTTACCCTGATAGGTGAAATTCAAATTGACCATTGAAAATAGGGTTACAACAAATAAACTCGGCCCCAAACGAAGCCTGTCCCAAAAGAAGAGAAGTCTTATTTTTTGATCTCTCCGCATGGGTCATCTTCGGATCAACCCGCTTCTTTAGAGCTTATCCTCTCTTTCATTCTCAGACATACAATATGTAAATACCCGCAGGCCATTTGCGGGTTTCTTTCATTTTTTACCCAAAAAAACCGCCGGCCCGAAAAACCCCTCCGGGCGGAACGTTTCGGTTGAAGAGAAACGGGACCCATGAGAATCGATTTGGGAATGGGGCTGGGAAATGGGAACGGTTCGGAGAATGCAACTTGCCTACGGAAATTTGACGAATTTTGAGTAAAACTATACATACTATATGTAGATACTTGCATAAGTGGTGATCGGTTTGCTTTATACTCAATCCTCTTGCTTTGGGGTTTACTTATGGGGGAGTACCTCAATGAGAATATATGTAGTAATAAAAAGCGGAAAAATAGAGCTTAATTCAGAGTTACGATACTGAAAATCCCAGTTTTTTTGGAGGATTTATGACCTCTGGGACTTCGTTGACGTTGACACATTACTTTTTATGCGACTTTATATGGGACATAGAGTTGATATGTGTGTTGAATGAAGCCATTCAACGAGCATATTTGTTGAGATTCAGTTAGATTTTCGGCGTGTATTACTTCTCATACAAAAGCCCAAATTTTTACTCGAAGGCGGCCTCTGCTAAGCGCAAGTCAGAATTTTCATTGATCAAAAGATGGATCGGGATGTCTGCAAAGTTTGAAATAGATCTGCCGGTCTCTCGTCGAGCAATGTATGCCTGGGAAATCTCGTCTAAAAACAAACACTACTCGTTTCAGGTCTCATAATAATAAATTCATAGAAGTTTTGATGAGTTCCTCGTCTTTTCGTAATTTTTGATCTACAAATGGGACAGAATTTTAAATGACGGCCTGTCGATGTAAAGTCAGGCTAAAATAAGCTCTTTATGACAAATGGATTAGCCTGTATCAAAGAAAAGATGATTTATTTATAACTTTACAATAATTTGTTTACTTTAAAAATTCTTAGCATAGAGGTTCTAGTCATTTTTAGTTCGCAGCCTCAAAAACACTTTACTCGTCATTCATTGCCAACCCATGTACATTTCGACTTTCCGCGCACTTTTAGCCACTTATTCCATCTATCGTGTTTCGAGGCAATTAGGCCCTGAGGGCATTTCTCTTTAAATTACTCGATTGATTTCGCCGAAAATATTCCGGTTTAGAACTTAATTTGCCCTCGAGGGGTTCGACCTCAAACCGCTGAAATCCCACTTTTCCCCGGCTTTTTCGGCCCCATTCTTATATAGTTTTAAGCGAGGGGCTTCTGCCCTGCGGATAAAACGGCGCTCTTTTCTCCGTTTCGCCTTTTCCATGCCCTCCGGCCATGTATTCTCGAAAACCCGAAAGTTGAGCCTTTAATTCTTTGTTTGGCTGAGGAATTGCGAGCACGTTGTTGAAGCTGTAGAACGTGTCTTTTCTTTCAGCGCCCGAGGGTTTTATGGATTTGCTGGGGATCCGGGAGAACACCGCCTCCAGACCGTCGCTCATTTCGTCCATTTGGTCGTTGCAAGTGCAGACACAGGTAAATTTTGGCGGTTTTTGAGGATATATCGAATTTTCTGACATTCTCAGGTAAATTTAGGGGTACCAAAAAGACGCTGCAAAAATTGGGTTTATCTCCTGAGGAAGTTTTTGTATTGAAGTGTTTCGTTTGTTTTGAAGAAAAGATTCAAAGTCAAAAATAAAAATGTGACAGCGGGTTTCATTTTGCTGCCTTTCTTTTGGATTTCAAGGATGTAACATCAGATAAGCCGCATTTGAAAAATAAATAACTGTAAAGCCAAGGGAGCAAAGCAAATTAAAATCTTGTTTGGAAACACTACTCACACAACTTTTTGTCTAAAAAAAACTAATTTCAGAGGGTATAACTATATATGTAGTTTATACACCTTTTAATCTTTCAAAAATACGTTCTTATATTAATTACGTGCATGGCTTACAAAATGTTACCGAAGATTTTTCTCAGCTCTCATCAAAATCTGATGGTTGAGAATTTAATTCCAGGGAAGCGATTATTTATGGCCGGCCATTTTCATCTCAAATTCAATGTGAAATTCCATTTATTTTCACCTCATTGGCCATTTATCCAATGCTGTTTTTAGATTTTTTCGTTTTTCATTTTCCCGAATTCCGCATTTCTCCTTTGATATTCATCATGACATCATAATCTCTGGATATCAAAATGATGATTAAAAAATGTTCGAAAATACGGAGAAAAACATTCGGGTTATTTTAAGAGACAAATTTCATCATTCATATGTAACAATGAAATCTCACCAAGTCGAAAGAAAAGTTTTAATAGACAATTTTCAGCAAGAGCCGACCTCACTTGAACTCGGCTCACAGCAATCACTCCCTCCACTGCCCGAAAATGTCGCCGAAAGTAGTAGCAACGAGAATTCGAATCAATTGAGGCATACCAAAAGTTTATCAGGTAAGAATTTCAACTTTTTTTGTGGATTAGATCAGGTGAAATTACCGTATTTTACAACTGCTAAATTATTTTTGAGTTACATAAGACAAAAATAAATTTTTTTAGATGGGTTGAAAACAGACCGAAGAGGTCTGACGGGCAGATCTTGATGAAAATTTACATTTTATAATTAGAGCGAAAGTTTTACAATTCCATGCTCGGCGCTTGCCAAAATAACCGAGATTTTTGTGTCGAAAGTTGGGGAAATTTTGGCCCTTCATTGCTATAATTTTTTTTCAAAAGATGTATTCCTTTGAAATGTCATACTCTTACACGTCAACAGCCGTTTTTCATTTTGCGTTTTCCAGAATTACACATGTTATTCCGTGACGACGAGAAAGGCTGTCGGATTCAAGAGGCGCCTTCATTCGTATGGCGAAAAGAGAACCCGCAAAACAACGAAACCAAAATTACGAAGCAGCAGAAAGAGAGGAACATCACTGAATGGCTGCAGCAATTGCAATTCAACGATAGCCAGGCCATGAGCACCTCAGTGTCGCCGACTCTGAGCAGTCGGATCGACCAAAGTTGATAAGTGTGATGTCTTCTGAAATTTCTAATATTCTTTTCTTGCCTTTATTTCACGATAGGTTTTGCCCGAAACTAGTGCGAACAAACCAAAAAATTTCACTTGCACCGTGCGCTCTTCACAGTATTTATTCCTGTTTTCGCACAGTGCAACGAAATTGACTCCGCACTGTGCGACGATTTTTCTCTAACAGACTTTTCTCACAGCGCAAAAAAATGTCTTTTTTCGACCTTTTCTTCCTTTCGATGTTCCTTTTGCACTGTGTATACCTCAATAACGAACAATCAATTCTTGGCAGTGCATTTGTGGCACAGTGCAGAACATTTAAATTATAGTTTTTTCCGCACCGTGCACGTCTTCACAATCTTTTTCGTTTACCAAAAACCTTGCCCCGGGCCTTCCTCTCGTTTATTGATTGTCTCTCGGTCTTCAGACTCTCCCATTCTCCGATGATATCCGGTATTCAATTTACAGGCTTTACTGGTAAGCGGTTTAGTTGCTCTCCATTACATTTTATCCGATTTCCTTCCAAAAGTGCTGACAACTTTTGTTTCTTCGATCTCAGGATTACATTCTTTTGGGTTAACAGTTTTTTTATTTCACATAATCTTACAAGAATTAGAAAAATCTAAATAAACTTAACTTATTGATATGATAATCTCATTTAGGCGCATTTATTGGCAAGGAATTCGAAGGTGATGTCTTCCAAATCGCGGATTTCGGCACACTGGAAAATTTGGGACATCAAATAGGGCAAAGTAAGACATAAAGGGATTGAAAAAAAATTTACTTTACACTGGGCAAAATCAAAGTGGAGATCAATTTTTACCTTTGAAAGTTCACATAACTGGACCAGATTGTTTCTACTACCTGCATACAGCATTGTGAGCTCTACGGGGCATCCTGGAGGGCAGTAGAAGATGAAGCATAACGGATATGTTATCCTTCCGTCCTCAATTTTGTTTTCGAAAGATATCAAAATAAATCGAGGCTGATGGGCAGGGACTTCTTGAGTGATTTCTTCAATAAGGACGTCCTGAAATCATGTATGCATTAAACTTGGCATTAGCCACTGTTTCCGCACAAAAACTAATTCTTATACCTAGTATAACATTTCCTACCTCTAGCTCCTCCTCCACTTCGATGGTCATAGATTCCTTGTCGATTTTTACTGTAGATACATGTGTTAACAGTTAACTATAAGAAACTTGCATATTAAAGCATCGGTGGTCTTGCTTTTTGCGAATCGAAATTGCTTGACCCGGTCCACCACTTCTTGAGGGACGTTGCAGACGGTGAGAGTCGCCTAGAAAAAATATTTGTAAATGACTAATCAGAATATGACCTGTACTCTCTTTTGAGATCAATTTCAAGGAGAAAAAGCTTCACATCTCAAAGGTAAGAGCGTTCTTTTCTCAAAATGCCTAGTATAACATCGTACTTACCATTTCCCTCCAAAATTAGCTCTCAACGACCGCAAAAACACCTCGATGACCTCTGAAAGAGCAAGATAAACATCAGAAACACGAATGGATTTCACGCCGGATTGAGCAAAAACAAAGTAGTTTTGAGCTCGTCCTTAAAAAATGATTCATCCGGAAAAATAAAGCCACAAATTCCGCCAAATTCCAACACATTCTTCAACAAAGTCCACAAAGCCCCGTTTTTTGTGGAGTCTCACTATAAACAAAAAAAAATTTTTTGAGACACTTCCACGGCTCGCGCGACGAAGAAATCGAATTTAGAATTCATTAAAGACAAAGCATTTCAAGTGGGTGCCGGTATGAAACATCAAAAGACATAGGCAGATTGACCGTAAGATACGACAATCCGACAAAACAATCAAAAAATTGATGAATCAGACCTAAAATAACATGGGGCCCAGTACATTATAAAAAAACCTGTTTTTTGAATCAAAACGACTAGAAAGTTGTAAGGAATTACTCTTTGTGCAACAAAAGGCATCTTTTGTAGTTCTTCAAGGTAAACACAGCACGGCTTGCCCAAATAGACCAAAATCGGAGAAAAAAACGTACACGGCCTTCGCAGCTCGCGCCCAATCCTTGAAAAATTCCGGTGAAGTGCCCCTTAGAGTTGATGCTCAAAAAGTACAAAGCGCTTATTATCACATAAAACAATCTTGATAACTATTTTCTTTGAATGTCTGTCATCTATTTAAGCTATTATTTGTATCGGTACCATTTCTGAATCGGGAAATACGAGGCCCTCAATATCAGCATTTTTGATGTATCTTGTACAACATGTGTACGATCGAACACATTTGATAAACGAGATTCTTTCTATCAGTTCCATGCAAACGTTATAGAAGATGCTCCAGAAAAAGTTTCATCTTAATCGGGTCATTTTTTGATACACTTGAACGTTTCCCACTGCAAATAGCTGAGTTGCACACCTTTGAACGCCTATTGCTCTGTGAAAAATTATTCGTTTCATAGCTTCTTTGTATTAATTGACACCCTTGACGTTCTACTATTAGGCCCTATACTTTTTACAGCTTAAAAAAAGACGAAAAAAAAGTTCTGCCAAAATTTGTAAAAAGGTGACAAATAAGTCCCCAAGTACAATATGCCGCAACACACGGAAATGATCAAATTTTCCAAATGTTTCCTTATAGTTCCACAACAAACCTATTAAAGGGCATATACTCAAATTTTCAGGATTTTGAGAGAATTTTTTGATAAACTTCAACGTTTCCCATTGATTTAAGGTGAAATTTTGTACATTTGAATTTCATCGTTTAGCGATCCCCTATGTGGGGAAGAAGGTCGATTACCAATTTCCCAGTTTTAAAAACATCAAAGCATGCTCAAGGATGCTTATTGGCCTCGTTTTAGTTCAAAATTGTATATAATGAATATTGATGACTATATGTAGGTGTAATGCAACTTGCCAAAAAAGCGCTGATGTCTGGATTTAGAAAAACCTATGTACAATCCCACAGAAGAAGTCCAAAACCCACATAGTCCAAATTTCAGCTATTTAAACCCACGTTTTGACCATGTTTAACGTTTCCCACTAGGCAAGTTCAATATCTGGCAATTACAAATTTCGCAATTTCATTAAAATAAGCTTTAGTGTAAGGTATTACTGAGTGTCTATAGCATTTTTTAACAAGCCTTGTCAATTGAAGACAAATTTCAACATCGCATCACTCAAAAATATTGAGGTACTCCCGATAATTGATGCAGTTGACGTATACATCAAAACCGAAATCAATTGACGGGGGACAAGGCTCGGCTTGCTTTGAAATAGAAGATTACGCAGGGTACTAATAATGATGCATAGACTCGTTGCAATTTTAAAGCTTTTTGAACAGATTTTTTGAGATTTCGCCGGCGAACTCATGACATTTGCCCCCGTTGGTCAGAATGGCCGATATTGACGATTCGAGTTTGTGCATTATTATTATCAAACAAAGTCCGTTCTGAACCACGATGTGAATGCAACATACATGTAGTATCCATGTTTACCAAAATTCATTAAATTTAATGTCCAAGAATAATATTTTTGTGGTAATAATATGTGTGCGTTGATGTAAAATGGGTTTTCTAACAATTCCTGTCAATATCGACAGTTCTGCCTTCATTCTGACATAAAATAAGATTAGAAACGTTTCATCGTATAAAATGTCGCTAATTTTTCTTTGGACGTTTTTTTCTCCATTTGGGCAAGCCGTGCACAGTTCAATTTTTCCGAAACTATTCTGACATCGTTGTATTTCTTGCGTCCCAACACGAAAACAAACACTACGTAAAATAGAATGCCAAAAACGTCAATTTTATGGAAAAATTATATTTTTTGTTGGATTGTCAAAAGAATGTCCGATAATGAATATGAAGACACAGAAAGAACGCCAATTCAACGGAAAACTTCTAGTTATTCATCAAAGGTACGTGTAATATAATTTTTTTATTCTTTGTTCTCTAGGTAGTCGCAGTTTTGGACGAAATCGGGCAATCAGAGTTTTATCAGCCAGATTTGGATATGACGTCAGTGATAAATCGACTATTTCCGACTGAACAGAGCTTATCATCGTTGGATTCGGTTGTTCAGAGGATCGATGATGAAGTTAATGATTTGGATAATGAATTAGCAGACTTGGTGGAGATGCATGGACAAGTAACAGACGATGGGATGGCAGCTCTAGCAAAAGTGAGGATTTGACTTTATTTTGTTTGCGTTTAGTCAAACTTTTGATCGAGTTTTACATTAGAATGGTGTGTTATACAAAGATTTGCTCAGTTGACGCCACTTTTTACGATCAATTGATAAATTATAGTTGGTTCACCTAATAAAAAATGTAATTTCAGGCGAATGCGGCTATGAAAGATTTAGAACGACGGGTAGCACAGATCCGAAGCAAAACTCAACTCTCTGAATCATCAGTTTTGGATATGACTCGAGATATAAATCAACTTGATGTAGCGAAGAAGAATCTAACCTCATCTATAACCTGCCTACACCACTTGCACTTACTTCTCACCGGTGTCAACTCAATCAGTAAGTCGCTTTTTTTAAACATTTATCTTTGAAATTTAGCCCAATGGATGGTGACAAAACGGTATGGTGATATCTCCACCGAACTCCCAGCTGTCCTAAACGTTCTTCAGCTATTTGAGGATTATATGAGGGTTCCTCAAGTACGAAATCTGACCGATCGATTGCACACCTTGAAGGAAAAATTGAGCATTCAAGTTGCCGCGGATCTGCAGACCGCTTTTCAGGTAAAATGGGAATATCTTTTTATAGGATAAAGCATTATTTCTCATTTTAATACTGTTTGAGAGTTGCAGAGATCGGCTTTTTTATGATATATTAATCATAAAAAAAATATATTCAGGCCGGCCAGATCAACACAAAAACCGCGGACATGTGCAAGGTCGTTGCCATTCTCGGTGGGAAAGTTGAAGACGATTTTCGCAGCTGGTTTATCTCCTCGAGACTCGCTGAATACAAGGTTCTCTACTCGGACAATGAAGATGTTGCGTGGATAGACAAAATCGACCAGCGTTATCGGTGGTTTGTCTCAAAATTAGCCGAATTTGAGCGAACCGGGATGTCCAAGATTTTCCCGCCGAACTGGGAAATGGGCCGAAGGCTGGCCTTCGAATTTTGCGAAATGACACGAATACAATTGGATCGAATGATGACCAGAAGAAAGCTGGAGATCGAGTGGAAATTACTGGCACATGCGATCAATCACACGATCATGTTTGAGAATTTATTATGCAAAAGATTTCCGGCGAAGGATCAATTTAATTTTGAGAAAATTATTTGGAAATGCTTTGACAATTTTATGGATGTATTCGTCGCAGCTCAATCCAAAAGTCTCAGCCAATTCCTGGAAGATTGCGCAACAAAAATTCGAAGTGGGGAAGAGAAGCCGGTCAAGGAAGCAGTTGTCAGCGCTCACCCATTGCCGTCAAGTGCCGACCTGTTTTTATTACTGAAGAAAATTATCACAGAGTCAAGCAAATTGAGCGCAGACCCGAATAATTTGCTCTTGTGAGTTTTTTCTCTTTGTTTGATTGGGTATTAGGCCACATTGAGACGATTTTAGACATCAAATGTCAAGTGTAATATATTTTTTTTCAGAAAATTGGTGGAAGTCTTCAAACAATGTCTTCGTGGCTACGCTCATGGATGTTTGACAGCATTTATGCCGTCGATAACTGCCACGTCGTCGAATAGCATTCTTCAGAATCTTATCCGAGAAGAAACAGCTGTCCGATTGACTCCGGACCAACAATTCTTTTGTTGTTGTATATTGGCAACGGCGGATTGGTGCGCAGAGACCACGAATCAACTCCAGGAAAAGTTACAGCAACGAATTTCGGTAATAATTTTAGATCTTACACAAAATTGTCAAATTTATTACCTAAAATAATATAATTTTCATTTCAGACGGTCGATTTTGGCCAAGAAATGGAGTTGTTCTATTCTATATCGAATAATGCGCTGCAGAGTCTAGTCGCGGATTGTGAGATATCGTGTGATGCAGCACTACAAGCTATGACTAAGATAAAGTAAGTTAATTTTTGATGTTTTTGTTAGAATCTTCGATGAATTTGGGCATAAAATGAAATTTTTTCAGCTGGAATAATGTGGAGTCCGTGGGAGACGAAAGCGCATACATATCAGCGATTAGAAAGCATCTGAGATCATCAGTTCCACTGATTCGAGATTATTTTGCTGATCGACGAAAATATTTTGCCCATTTCTGCCTTAAATTGGCTACTCAATTGGTCAACAAGTACATGGGCGCAATCTTCAGATGCAAGCCGTTGTCGGTCATGGGTGCGGAACAACTTTTGTTGGACACTCATGCATTGAAGACGTTCCTTTTGGGCCTCCCGTCAGTTGGATCCTCGATTATTGTGAAGCCGCCGACCCCATTCACGACGGCTGTCAACGACGGCATGACGAAGGCTGAGATGGTCCTAAAGGTGGTGATGTCCGACATCACAAAACCCGACGATTTCATCATGAATTACGCAAGAATGCTCCCGAGATCCGATGCAAATGAACTACAGAAAATATTGGAAATGAAATCGCTGAAAAGATATGAAGTCACGAATATTGTACAGCTCTATAGGACGAAGATTGAAGGGTACACTCCCACGACAACTTCTGCGACAGCCTCAATGCCTTCAGCTTTCTCGGCGTTCGCTTCTTTAGCTTCGGATAATTTCACGGACTCAAGCATGAGACGACTGGAAAAATTGGTCAAAAAGTTGTGAAAAAATAATGGTAGAGTAGTGATTACAGTCTTAATTGAGAGCCCTAAGGGTTTATCTGGAAGTTTTTATATCAAAAGAGCTTTAGGTGAGCTCAAGAAGATTGCCAGGGGCATGGTTTTCGAAAATAGTTGGGTTTTAAAACGGAAATTTCTATCATAATTTAGAAGAGGTTTTATGTGTAACAGAGGTTAAAAAATATTAATAGAGACCGGTTAATAGTATGCTTATTTTGGCAAAATACAAATTCTGTACATTAAGGATTTTTGATATGATTTTAGACTTGACTCTAGTGTAATATAGAAAAATATATGTCGCGATTTCTCTTAGATATGATAACTTGTTGAAATGTAATACGCCACAGGGATTTTCGTGGAATTATTTTTTAAACTAGCGACTGGTCGATTTTAGGTTTTTTTGATTTTGCGATTTTTGGCTTTGTAAATTTTATATCTACCATTTTAATATTTATAATTTATATGGTTGTGAACACCCATTCCCTACCCTCGACGTGCTATTGTGATAACAGTTTTTGTAAACCGCAAAGGTCTAATTTATATATCTAATTTATATTAGTATTCACTTAATTATCGGCATAATTTCCCTTCGTCTCCATGCTCTTTGACCGCTTAACTATGAACGATTGAATTCCTGAATAAATTCGGTCCACTTGAACTTGTACCGCTACTCGAGACCCAGCGAACTCGTTTGTTTCCCCATTTCCGATACTCTTTTGGGAAAAATTGCGATGGATCCCTTCGGATGGGTCCATTTTTTCCTGATTTTTCTAATATGCCTGGCTTCCGAAGCAACTGAATGCTATGGGTGGGTTTGGAAAAGATTTTGATGTCGAATATGGCACCAAAAAAATTTTTTTTGTGATAAGTGTAATATATGTAATGTTTGGTCAAATTATAAGCCTAATATTCCGATATAACTTTTTCCAGCGTAAAGTGCTTAGCAAAGCGGTCTAACAAGCCGTCGGGGACGAGGTCTGTCGGAAAATCGTGTACTTTCACAACGGATTGCGTAACTGGAGCGTTTTGTGATAATCGATATTGTCGATGCTGGTCGTCATATGTTCATATTGAAGAGTTCTGCTGGAAAAGTAAGACGATGGCCTTTAAGCAGTCCATGTAATAAGCTTTCATATACGAAAACATGATTTTCGACAAAATCTAAAAAAAAATCGTCGAATCTTGACGATCTCTGTACCCCTGATTTTTAAAGCGTGTCTTGCTTTCAATGTCTCCATCCTTTCTTTAGGGATAAACCCGGAAGAATCTGGCTGCACCTACGACGCTCAGTGCGAAGCGGTTTGGCCTGGCGCTAAGTGCGCTTCCAGTGGAGTTTGCAAATGTGCGGATGGAGAAGTTACAGTGCCCACAAGAGAAGGCCTGGCCTGTCATGTCGCCGGCGAATGCCCTACAAATGGGGCGAATGCCGTTCTGTTCAATCGGAATAGCAATCGAAAAGCGGAGTGTTACTTTTTCGACCGGCATGGCCAAGAATTGCCGGGGCATTTTATGGGATGTGAGGATGCTCCGGAAATGTATGACTGCATTGATGGGGTGTGTTGTCCAAGCAGAGGCAAGTAGAATACAGTTTGTTTTAATAGGCTTCAAATAGATCCAGTATTTTCTGAAATTGGGATTCTTTTTTTTTGAATTTTAAATTTTCCGCCATCTTGGCATTCCAAGAGCTGAACGATGAAAAGTGTGAACTCTATGAAACATACAGTATTATAATTTTCAGCTTATACTTGCATCCAACCACAAGACGGTGGCCAATTGGCCAATGGAACCAAGCCCACAAAACGATGGTTTTACAATTCAGCCACTTCAACTTGCCGCCAATTCACTTATGGCGGGCTAAACGGAAATTCGAACAACTTTTTGACTAAACAGCATTGTGAAAGTTACTGTTTGAGTCGTAAGTTTTAGTCATCTGGTATAATATAAAAAATGTAATTTAGGATGCCCTCGAGGTCAACCGCTGTTGGATGACAATAAAACAGTGGAAATAAAGACTAAAAAGGACCTGATTGTGACTTGCCAATCGAATGAAGATTGCAGATCGGATAAATTTAAATGCACCAAGGTCCAGTTGACACACTTGTGCTGCCCTGCGGCTGGTAAGGAGGAGTTGGAGAGTGGAAAAACTTTTTCAGCGTAAATTTACCTGCCTTTTGTCGTTGTAATCTTACGGATTTTCTTTCCAAAAATTTTGAAGTTCACAGATAAAAAAATAAAATTTTCATTATTGGCTTCTTTTTCATTTATTTTATAATACTTACAGCCCTAACTCTTTTCAGAGTACATCTGCAGTGAATACGGTGGACTAGGCGGAGTTTTTGCCGATCTTTCCCGGAAGCCCCTTCAAATCCCCTATAATTCGGGAACCAATCGTTTTGGCCAAGATCCAGTCCCTCGATGGCATTGGGACCGACTTTCCCGGAAATGCAGACCCTTTAGATACCTGGGACAAGGAGGCAACTTCAACAACTTTATAACCGAACAGGATTGCCTCGAATTTTGCTCGGCCTCTCTTTGTCCGGTCGGAAGTCCACTGAGAGTTGAATCTGGAGGAAATGTGGAATGTCAAGGAGATCAGCAATGCCCACGGAGTCACTACTGTATCAACACTGTTTGTTGTCCAACTTCAGGCAAGTTCAGGTAGTTTCAAGAAAAAATTGAACAAAAATTTTTTATTATCTTTCTCAAAAGCGGGTATTTTCGAATTTGAAACCTACAGTAACTTCAGACTATAGCAATCTGGCTAAAATGGAGTGCTGAATAATTTCAACGATTTTTTCAGTGACTGTCTGCAATTTACCTCTTGTAATCGGCTCTGCTTGCCACTCGGAGCCAGTAACTCGGTATTGGTATAGTCCGGCTCAGGGAACTTGCCAAGTTTTCCAATATAATGGCTGTGGAGGGAATGCAAACAACTTCTTGTCCATCGCCGATTGCCGGGAGACCTGTTCCTTCGAGGAGGAGGAGCCCAAATGCCCGCATGGCGATCCAATTCGACTGGAAAATGGTCGTATCTGGAAGTGCAACAATACAGAAGATACCAACGAATGCCCGCTCAATTATGAATGTATTTTGGAGGAGAAGCAGAGTGTATGCTGTCCAAAGAAGGAGTATTCATGCTCCATTCCAAGAGATTCGGGGAGAAGTTGCGCTCCTGGAAATACGACCAAGTGGTATTTTGATGTGGGACTACAATCGTGCCGACCATTTGATTACAGTGGATGTGACGGAAATTCGAATAGATTTAATAGCAAGCGGGAATGCGAAGTTTATTGTGGAGTTGTGGGTAAGCAAAGAAATGAATTTCGTGATATTAGGTTAGATGAATAAGGTAATATTTACGGAGTTCAGATGTTGTCAAACATGAATAAGAATAGAGAACTCATTTTCCATCGTATAAAATGTCGCTATCTTTCAGGATGCCCTCATGGAGGACAAGTCCTGCTTGATCCGGACAAAAAGCCTTTAATTTGTGGTCCGGAATCTGCCAATAAATGCCCGCAGTCTCACACTTGTATTCAAATCGCCAACTCTACTTTGGACAGTCTCCATTCCCACTTCTGTTGCCCTACTCGATTTACGGTGTGTGCCATGAAGATTGATGAGGGAAATGTTTGTGGAGATCCCTCAATTCGATTTGCATTTGATCCGGAACTACGACAATGCAAACCATTCATGTTCAAGGGCTGCGGAGGGAATGAGAATAACTTCGAGGCAATGCAAAGCTGCTTGAGCTTTTGTGCGGCGGCTGGTGGGTTTTTGAACTTACTTAGATTTCAAGGATTATCAAAAAAAACTTTTGAAGGGTATATAATTTTGTATTATAAGCAATTAAAAAAAATTTTACGTGCAACCGTCAAGTAATGAATGTTTTTTACAGCCTGCTCCGCCGGCGAAATCATCTACAAAGACAAGGCCGAGGATCCGCCATTGGACTGCAGCCGAGCTCCTTGCCCATCCGGCTTTGTCTGTGTCGCCGATCTGACAAATCCGGAGAAAAGTGTTTGTTGTGGGACACTGAATATGGGTGGGTAAAATGCTGATTTTGATGGTTAAATAAATTTTTTTGGCCACGAGGCTTATAGCAAGTTTAAATAATTCAGACACATTATGTAAAAAGTAATGGTATTTGATTAATTTTTCAGGAGTGTGCCCTGAAGGCCAAGGAGTTTTCATTGACGAAAGAAGCCAAACCCCGCAGACTTGTGCCAACGATCGCTCTGATTGTCCATTCGGATATTTATGTGTTTTCAACGAGCGGCGCAACAAGTTTTATTGTTGCGCCCCTAATATCTACGACCAGCGTGAGTCAATAAATTTGTGCTAACTTTCATACACTTTTCAGTAAAGTGCCCGCCCGGCCTGGACCCGGCCAAGTCCCCCACCACGGATCAGATCATTGGCTGCTCAGTCGACGCACAGTGCATTCCCGGTTCCAAATGTCATAAATCGAACGGAGAACATCAGAGTGGGCTCTGTTGCTTGACCGGTCCCCCTTGTCCGCCAACTTTTTTACTGGATGTGGAGCAAAGTCGGAAGCTCTGTAATCCCCTGAAATCAGCGACTTGTCCGGACGGAATCTCTGTCTGCCTTTACAGCGATATCCTCGAGAGATTCGTTTGTTGTAAGCGAACACACAGGCCTTTTAAGGAGCTGGGAAAATGTCCGGGAGAGATGATGAGGGATTCGGAGAATCGCCAGTGCAGTCAGAGCGAGCTTTGCCCACCAAGTTTTAATTGTATTCGACGGAATTTTGATCGTGTTGGGATTTGTTGCCGACACAAAAATTCAATCAATGTGGTGAGCTATCCAAGTGAGTTCCTGAAATTACTTTTACCGAGGAAGAGAGAAAATGTTAAAAAATTGAATGAGAATAACGTATTTCACCGAAAACGACTGCTCATTGCACTGAAAGGATATGTTTTCAGTGAAATGTTCGAATGGGGGAAAGCCTTATCGAGATGCTGCAGGGTTGAATCAAATCTGCAACGATCAAATTAAATGCCCTGAGGGCTATAAGGTAAGATCGTTTTATCAGACTTTCCTTTTTCATCCCTCGGCCCAATACCGTATTATTTTTCAGTGTCAACTCTCTGAGTCTCCGGGAAGCAAGACTAGATTATGTTGTTTGGAGCCTAAAAAGATTATCAGTTGCCCGAGTAATCTGTTGCCGTTATCGGCAGACGGAGTAGAACAGAATTGCAATCAATCTCAATGCCCAGCCGGTTACAAGTGTAACGAGGGGATCTGTTGTCCCACGGAAGGTAAGCGAACGCGATCACAGATGCTTGTAGTGATCCGGAAAGGGTGAACTTTACTTATGAAAATTTAATTTTTTTCGTAGCGAAAAATCCCCTGCCGTATTTTATAGCAGCAAAAATGAAATTGCAACCTTTGACTGTCCGTTACATGTTTTTTGCTCACCCTATTTAATTCAGAGTTCGCCTGTTCCGTTCAATTTTACGCGGGAGTTCATTGTGGGAATGCTAAGCCTCAACAACGATGGTATTTTCACTCAGCGACTGGTAAGTCATATACCCTAAACGCTGTTATCGTAAATTTTTTCAGGGCGTTGCCAACCTTTTGTCTACAATGGATGTACCCCTAGTGCCAACAATTTTGCTGATGAGAAGACTTGTTCAAGGTTGTGTGTGGAGAGCGAGGCTTCTGAAGTTAAACGTAAGTTGTTCACAAGGAAATTTTACAATGCCTCTAGAGTATAAGATACTCACGACCTTCCCTATATCGATCTTATTGTACTATCTGGTTTTCACAGTTTCCCTTTTAGGTCACTGCTCCTACCCCCTTAAGGATCCCAAGAGTGGTCTGATCAAGGAATGTAGCGATGATAATCCAGAATGCGAAGGTAAGTCTTAATTGCTTTTACCCATGGCGACCGGTCTAGGGTCTAGATTCTTCGGAACGGACCCTAGCCCATAAAATGTAGGCTTGGCAGGGTCATATATACAATTTTAGAAGGTCAAGTCTGCTCGCACAACGCCTTCAGTCTAATGTTATGTTGCGAGCCTCCGGATCAACCGGAAGATCCAAATAATAAAACGATCAAAGGAAATCAGCCCTTATGTGGACCTGGTTACATTCCGTAAGTCAATGATCTACCATGATGTCATGGAAACAACCTTTCACACCTTCCCACATCTCTTTTCTCTCCACTGACCCTTCATCTTCTCGTTTTTCAGATTGATCGATGCCATTTCCGAGGAGCCAGTCCATTGTCATCCCTTTTCACGGCCCTGCGATAAAGGCCAAACTTGTCAATACAGCGCCGCTTTTTCGGGCTACCTCTGTTGTTTGTTGCCGGACAGAAAAGCAGTGACAAAATTGAGCAGCAGAGCGAATAAGACCAGTAATAGGAAAGCTGTCAAGCCAATGAGTCGAATTTTGCCTCCGAAAACTTTTCCGCTAAAATTTAAACCGACTAGACGGGTGAAAAGTAGTACTGTAATGAGTATTATTACGAGTTCAAGAAGCAGTGGTAGCACTGTACTGAGTGTGCACGGGAATTTTGTTGAGCCAGAGGAAGAGGAAGGGATCTCCGCGATGATTATCGAAGAATATTTGGGGGATGATGAGCAAGAATGAGGTTGCTTTGGCCAGGGTAATTGATGGAAAAATTGTTGATCTCTTGTTGATAAAATAAATGAGTGTTGAATTGAAACTGCCATTATAACATTTTTGCCGCAGTTTAAGAAAGCAAGTTCTAGTAATATGTAATACGCATTTTTTTCAAAAAACCTCTTCACTCGGTGTTTCCAACTCCAATTTTGTTTATCGACATGTCAATTTGTCTTCGAAAACTCCGCTTTTCTTAGGCCACGAGCTCTTTGTTTAAGTGATTTTTTAGGCCCGGAGTGTATTGAAGTTCATTTGAGACGGAGAGTTTTATAGGACTTTTCTATTGTCATCACATTCTTTTGGGCCTTAATAAAATTAAACAATTAGGGAAAGGACGAAGAGGGATCTTGGTTTGTGATGCCGAACAAACATGTACTTTTAGTTGGGGTTTTGATAGGGAATTATGAGATCTATCAGTAAAATTTGGGGATCCGATCTAATTCTTGATAAATCACTCGGCCTCTTCTTGTTTTTGAAAATTCTTCAAGTGCGACGATCAGATTTTGATAAAGATTGGCTTCATGAACGTAGTGTCTGAGCTCCAAAGATCGTTGAATACGATCTTTGCTGCGTTTACAAAGCTGCGAAAATTTTCAGCAATTCATTCCTGACCTATATGGATTGTTTGTTCGAGGGCTCAAAAGAATCTTTTTCAGTCATTGATCACTTCCCGTCATCATTTGTCCAAAAGCCCTCTTAATTTTCCAACTATCAAATTAATTACCATACCAATCCCGGTCCTCAGGGATTTCCTAACCCTCTCCGAACCTCGCTTTCCCCACCTGGCCAAAACTTCGTAGAAAATGGACCAGAGTTTCTAATTTATTTGGGGGCATTTCCCTCTTGAAAGACGGGAGAAAACATGTGACTTTGATCGGCCGAAAGCACTCCTCATGATTATCGAAAAAAGCAAGGAAAGGTCGTAAATCTCTTGGCCATACTTTCAATTTATTTCCAAAGTTTATTTGAGACAAAGGTCTGGGAAATGGCGAGGTTCTACTTGTTTTATGGCCGGTGTAAAAGTTTTTTGAACATGTTCTTGAGAATGCCGGAGGACAGCGTGGAACATGTGGTTCGGAAATGATTTTTCAGTTTTTGAAGAGTTATAAAATACGACGGAAATAGACGCTAAATATTTTCTTTAAAGCTTTTGGGTACTAGGGAAGTAAGCTAAGATTCCGATGAACTTTGGCGCAAATTAAGGCCATTTTATCATCAAGAGAATTACCTAATTGTCAGGAGAACGATTAGAGAAAAGAATTCTAGACGTTTTTGCAAACTTGCCTGGAAAAGTTGGTTTTCTCTAAGAGCTACGCGAGAAACAGAATGAAAATTTTCTGCCATGTTGCCTGTAAAAAATATCAAGTGTTTTAACATTCTTTGAGATCCTTGCAAACTCAACTTGCTTAATTTTCTCCCCACTTTCCTTTCATCGGCCACATGAGAATTTTACCATGGCATAACAAAAGTGTTTTTTACGCGTTTCATTCAGAAGCCCTCTGCCAGAAACCAATGTGCTTCAGAAGCCGAAAAAAGTATTTTTCTTTTATTGAGTCAATTCATATGCGGCCCCGACTATTTGACAGCCGTTTGGCCAAACGGTTTGGAAGCGGGAGATATTATGTCTTCGCCTGCGGGTTTGGCAACAATCTATGCGGCGGTTTGGAGAGAAGAACATGACTTTTATGGCCTCTGGGGTTTATGTTTTTGCAAATCTTGAGTGATTTCATGGAGGGAAAAGTGATAAATTTACACTTTTTTGGCGCTTCAGATATTTGTTTACCACGGTAATTGTTTATAGAGCCAGCCAAAAACAGGAAGATAAAAAAGTTCAATGAGATCAAATTTTGACTGGACCTCGAGAGCACTTTACAATTCACAGTTAGTCATCGTTTTAACCAAAAAGCTTACTTAGAATGAATGGACCGGGCCGGGCTTATTGTTAGTTATGGATCCGGGCCGGGCTTTCCAAAATTTTCTGGCCAGAGGTACGAATTATAGCCATGCTTAGCCGGGCCTACATTTTCATCGGGCTCCGGGTCAAGAGGTGCAAAAAGTCCGGTCCCTGCATGTCTGCGAAAAACACTTTTTTCACTTAATTTTTCTTCACTGTTGAAATCTCTTAACATAATAAAAACAGAGTTTTTTTGACGTTTTTCAGTGACGTTTGACCTCTGAAGCATCACATGACGCATGCAGAATAACTTTTACTTGAAAAAAAGTTTAAAAAAAAAAGATTTATTGTTAGTATTGACATTTCCATGACATTCAAACTCTTCTTTGATTTATTTCTTATAATTCACTGAGTTTTTTTTGAGGAAAAACAAATAGTTTAGTAAAAAATCGGGAAAATTTTGTAAACTATGAAAAAGGTTTACTTTTTTAAATCTTTGGGATTTTTGGCCTTTAAAAAAAAATCATTTCTAATTTGTGCAGGGTTCAATCTACTTTTTTACAAGGCTATTTGTCATCTTTCTTTTGTAATTTCCCTTAAAAATGGTTAGTTTTCAAATTCAAAATAAGGAGCCGTTTCCAGACGTTGTTTGAGTGGCTCTCGTCTCCAAAAAAAACTTATGGGAACCCTGAGAGCCATCACGTCGAACGTCGAAGGCAATATTTGCGACCTCGACGAACGGGAAGTCCTTATTATATGTCATTTTATTCCATTTCCTTTGCTTTTATAGAATTTTCGAACATTTCCAAACTTTTTCTTCGAATCTTTATGGTTTCTGCACGTTTTGTGGAGGGCGAGTGTGGAATTTGGAAATGTTTTGAGGTGTAGAACTCTGCTTGTGGTCTTTGGATTACTGTAGGATTTTTTAGAGTGGACCTTGGTTTAGACCACAAAAAACAAACATTTTTAGTGATAATGGGGGAAATAGATATTGATTTTTGGTTGAAATCAAACATTTTGGCTTAAAGTTTGGTCTAAATTGCTTTTTTTACTAAATTTCACCAATTTTATAAAAAAAATGTCATCAAATCACCCTTCAATAAGTTTTTGAACGCTATCCAAGCCCGGTCCAAATGCCGCTCGTCTGCCCCACAACAGGGATTAATCATGCAGAGGCGCAGAATTCTAAATCTGTGCCACAAAAAATAAGCGCCGCATTTTCTTTCGGCCGCGCATTCCCCCTCAAAAACTTTGCTTTCGGCCCCCCAAAGTCACGGATGGGGGTGTTTTTCAGAAGGGTGTTAGAGAACAAGCGGCCGAAACCGCCTCAGCTCCAAACTTAAACTTCTCTTCCCATAGAACATCCAAATTACATTTAGGGAGCTGAAAAGAGGAGGATAATATAATGTTTTATTGTTTTTTTGAGTGTTTGTTAAAGTTGTAACCTTGACAATGAAAGAAGAGCCTGCTCTGTGGCCTTTGAGCTTTCTTCGACGTTCGTAAAAAATTTTCTATCAGTTGAAATATTCTTTCTTGATTTTTTTTTGGAATGTCGTATTTTAGAAGATAACTTGATCTTTTTACAATGTAATATAAAATTTTGAGACATTTTTTTCTACCATAAACCGTTAAAAAATTTTTTTCCTAAAAATGATTTTTTAAATTTTAGAAAATGCTCATTCTAAAATCCTAAAGTTTTCACGGAAAAGGACTACTTTCTTTACTTTTCGATTATTCTGCACCCATTTCCCCCAATTAATCAAAAATTTCCACTAAAATTAACATCCTTCTCGCCTCGAAATACTTTGATAATAAATTACTTTACAACAAGAGTGTTCTGAAGAATGTGAGTGTACACTGCATTTTTCATTAACATAACACTACCTCTTTGGTAGAATAATGTAATCTTTAAATTAGAGGTGCCGGAGAATTGTATTATTGCCACAAAAATTTTTTCTTCCGAAGGAAGTCCGCGGGAAAATAAAAAACAAATAATATATAAAGGATATTTACTCTCTTTAATTTGCGTGTTTTATGACTAATAGTTCTTCACTGGAATCCCCCTCAAATACAACTGTTATTCTCTCCCGCACGTGCGCCACCGTGGCATTAAACATCCCTGTTGAAACTTCTCTCCACGAGTACTAAGTATTATTGTAATCAAATTGTCACCCCCTCACCGTGAAACGAAATTGGCACTTAATATTCAATGAGATGCGACATCCGCGAAAGTGTTTTCGATGGCTGGGAAAATAATTGGATGGCCAGAGGAAAATTTATTATTTTGCGCCCTCGGGCTAAGAAATCTTTCTACTGCGGAATAACTTTTTATTGCCCCCCACATTCGTCTAGCCACAAAAGATTTTCGAGATTAAATTTAGAGGGTTCCGTATAAAATGGTGGGTAGTTTGTAGCATAGGTAGTAAAAGACAAAAAAATTTACTAGAGACTTTTTTTGACATCTATAATAAAGTCTCCTCAGTCCTCGAGCAATTTTCTTACAATTAGATACTTAAAAACCCCTTTTTAAAGGGGTGTTTCTTGGTCATCTAATTTTATAAATTGACTAACGCCGAGTTTGGCGTATTTTTCTATCCCGATATTTTCTACCGTGTCAGTTTTTTATTATAAACCTCCAAAACAATTTAAAATTTTCAAAACTCCGGACACCTTTGATCGCATAAAATGTCCGAGCTTCTGAATTGATCAATCGGAGAAATCAACAAGAAATCTTTGATTTCCTCAAGCTTTCAGACGTTTACCACCTGGCCAAGATTACTGAAAGTTCATTGCGGACCATAAATTTATTATTGCCAAACTTTATGGACCTAATATTACCACAAGTATAAAGTTAGTTGAACTTTGACATCCGAACATAAAATTTGGTTGAGAGGTTGGGAAGGAGGCCTACATACGATCAATCTGTTCAAATTTTTATAAAGTCTGTCAGCGGTTTTGGATGCCACAATGTTTTAGATTGAGTTCTGACTTACTCCACTAGTAAATTACCCGTCTATCCTTCCTTGTTTTGTTGCTATATCTCATTGTCAGTTTTTTAAACTCAAATTTAAAA